CAGAGAGCCAGAAACGGTTAAGCTTTTGCCTCACTCCTCCTGAAGGGACAGCCCTTCCACCGGCAACAGCAAACAAGCACACAAGACGACGACCATTCCACCCCATCAACAACAGACAACTACAAACCCCTTCACACAAATTACAATCAGCGGAGATAGTGAAGACAACCGAAGAAGCGAAGACAATGTCAAAGAGCTCTTGCTTCATGCTCTGAAATGGACAATCCTTCCACCCCAGCAACAGCAGACAAACACATGTAGAGGAAGGCCAAAAGCGAGACCATAGCCGAGGGAACCTTACCCAACCTCCCCTGCTCAAAGTAATGCCATAGTTTTAGTTGAGAGAGCTTTGCCGGACCTCCCCTCAAGAGCCAACCAACACTCTCACCCAAATGAAATAAATAGGAGATAGTGAAAGACACGCACAGAAGTGAAACCAATGCCAAAGAGCTCTTGCTTCATGCTCTTAATGGGACAACCCTTCCACCCCAGCAACAAACGACAAACACATGTAAAGGAAGGCCAAAAGTAAGACCATAGCCGAGGGAATCTTGCCCAACCTCCCCTGCTCAAAGTAATGTCAAAGTTTAACTTGAGAGAGCTTTGCCGGACCTCCCTTCAAGAGCCAAGCCTTCCACCCAAATGCAAACAATAGGAGAAAGAGACAGAGAAAGAGAAAGACAACAAAGAAGTGAACACAATGTCAATGAGCTCTTGCTTCATGCTCCCTTTGGAACAACCTTTCCAAGTAGATAGACAGATACAACACCACTGGTCAAGAGACAACCCTGTCATCCCTGTAAGAATAGAGGAAGAGGAAGGCTACATAGAAAACACTGAAACAAGATGGAGGACACAACGTGCAAAGGGGAAAAGCATGATTTTCTGAAGATACTTGGCCCATCTTGGCCCTAGATTGGCTGAAGAGCACACGCTTCCACCCCATCAACAAATAGGTAAACAGATGCCAAGCAGGAGAAGTGAGAGAAGTGAAGGAAGCGGGGGGGCACTAAAGCCCAAACTTCTGAAAAGAGCCTGAGCCAGCCCTCCCACCCGTGCATGATAAGAAGATCTGATGACAGAGAGCCAGAAACGGTTAAGCTTTTGCCTCGCCCCTCCTGAAGGGACAGCCCTCCCACCGGCAACAGCAAACAAGCACACAAGACGACAACCATTCCACCCCATCAACAACAGACAACTACAAACCCGTTCGCACAAATTACAACAAGAGGAGATAGTGAAGACAACCGAAGAAGTGAAAACAATGTCAAAGAGCTCTTGCTTCATGCTCTTAATGGAGCAACCCTTCCACCCCAGCAACAGCAGACAAACACATGTAGAGGAAGGCCAAAAGTAAGACCATAGCCGAGAGAACCTTTGCCGAACCTCCCCTCAAGAGCCAACCCTTTCACCCAAATGAAATCAATAGGGGAGAGAGAGAGAGAGACAAAAAGAGAAAGACAACCAATGAAGTGAAAACAATGTCAATGAGCTCTTGCTTCATGCTCCCTATTGGACAACCCTTCCAACCCAGCGACTACAGACAAACACAAGTACAGGAAAACTAAAATGAAAAACGTGCCTCAAGGATCTTAAAGGGAGGGCCATAGCTGAGAGAACCTTACCCAACCTCCCCTTAAGAGCCAACTGTTTCCCATCAACAACAATTAGATAAATAGATATAGATACAACACCAGTGGTCAAGAGACAACCCTTTCATCCCTGTAAGAATAGAGGAAGAGGAAGGTTACATAGGAAAATAATGAAATAAGATGGAAAACACAGCGTACAAAGGGGAAAACATGATTTTCTGAAGATACTTGGCGCCTAGATTGGCAGAAGAGCACGCGCTTCCGCCCCATGAACAAATAGATAAAGATACGCCAAGAAGGAGAAGTGAGAGAAGTGAAGGGAGGGGGGGCACTGGAGCCCAACCTTCTGAAAAGAGCCTGAGCCAGACCTTGCACCCGGGCAACAGCAAACAAGTACACAAGACGACAACCCTTCCACCCCAGCAGCAACAGACAACTACAAACCCCTTCACACAAATTACAATAAGAGGAGATAATGAAAGGCATCCAAAGAAGTGAAATCAATGTCAAAGAGCTCTTGCTTCATGCTCTGAATGGGACAACCTTTCCACCCCAGCAGCAAACGACAAACACATGTAAAGGAAGGCCAGAAGTAAGACCATAACTGAGGGAACCTTGCCCAACCTCCCCTGCTCAAAGTGATGTCATAGTTTAAGTTGAGAGAGCTTTGCCAGACCTCCCCTCAAGAGCCAACCCTTTCACCCAAATGAAATCAATAGGAGAGAGAGAGAGAGAGAGACAAAAGAGAAAGACAACCAATGAAGTGAAAACAATGTCAATGAGCTCTTGCTTCATGCTCCCTATTGGACAACCCTTCCAACCCAGCGACTACAGACAAACACAAGTACAGGAAAATTAAAATGCAAAACGTGCTTAAAGGATCTTAAAGGGAGGGCCATAGCTGAGAGGACCTTACCCAACCTCCCCTTCAGAGCCCACTGTTTCCCATCAACAACAATTAGATAAATAGATACAACACCAGTGGTCAAGAGACAACCCTTTCATCCCTGTAAGAATAGAGGAAGAGGAAGGCTACATAGGAAATAATGACATGAGATGGAAAACACAGCGTACAAAGGGGAAAACATGATTTTCTGAAGATACTTGGCGCCTAGATTGGCAGAAGAGCACGCGCTTCCGCCCCATGAACAAATAGATAAAGATACGCCAAGAAGGAGAAGTGAGAGAAGTGAAGGGAGGGGGGGCACTGGAGCCCAACCTTCTGAAAAGAGCCTGAGCCAGACCTTGCACCCGGGCAACAGCAAACAAGTACACAAGACGATAACCCTTCCACCCCAGCAGCAACAGACAACTACAAACCCGTTCGCCCAAATTACAACAAGAGGAGATAGTGAAGACAACCGAAGAAGTGAAATCAATGTCAAAGAGCTCTTGCTTCATGCTCTTAATGGGACAATCTTTCCACCCCAGCAGCAAACGACAAACACATGTAAAGGAAGGCCAAAAAGTAAGACCATAGCCGAGGGAACCTTGCCCAAGATCATAGTTGAGAGCGCGTGTGGACATATGAACGTAGGAACGAAATAAACCCAAAAGGTCCTCTCCACATATATATATAAATAAATATCAATAGCCTTCCACTACCCAACCTCTTGACAACATGCGTTGATCCCTTGTCCTTTGACCTGGTAAAATTGTGATGCGAAATGCTGAGGCAGCATTTTATCCGAAGTGTTGAGCGCGCCTGCGAGCAAAATAACAAAGAGGCCGGGGAGTGGCAACCTACTTCTCAGGGTTGTGAAGGTTCATACCAAGCAGAACTTCCATTGGATAGCAAATGATCCTATTGGGTGTTACCACAACCTTAGTGTGAATATTCTGAATATCTATCTATCTAATCTAAATCTAAATCTAAATCTAGATCTAAATCTAATCTAATCTAATCTAATCTAATCTAATCTAATCTAATCTAATCTATCTATCTATCTATCTATCTAATCTATCTATCTAATCTATCTATCTAATCTATCTATTCTATCTATTCTATCTATCTATCTATCTATCTATCTTTCTATCTTATCTATCTATCTATCTATCTGGGTAAATTATAGTGACCTCACTGTAACCTCGCTGGAATCATGCTTAGGATTCGGGGAATCATCCCCAAATGGCCCAACATTTCAGGTTAGTGACATATTTAAATTTAACGAGATATATGTATACATGTAGAAGTATTTGTATGTGTAAATATATCAATATCCTTCCACTAGAATAGTCTTAGAATAGTAATGAACTGTATTTCTATCTTTTTTTGGGGCTTACTATGTCTAATATTTTTTGATTCCACACTGTCTGATATTGGAGGAAGAGCTGCATGTGGCGGTAGGGACATGTCTAATATATATATACATACAATGTATAGTAATACATAGATATCTGTAGATCTACGCCACATCCCATTGCTTCGAGCGCTGAATCTCGTCCATCTCGGACTGTCGAGGATCGTGACTGGCTCCTGGAAGTGATCCAGCCCAACAACCCCTGGCGACGCGGCGGCGCTGAGTTCATAGGGTTTTTTCCAACGGGACTTTTTTTGGGGCTTTTAATGGGAGTTCCTAGGCTTTCAATAGGAGTTCATAGGGTGTTAACGGGATTTGATAGGGGGTTAATGGTATTCTATAGGATTTTCATGGGGATCCAATAGGTATTTAAATGGGATCCAATAGGTATTTGAATAGGATTCAATAGGGCTTTAATGACCTTCAATGGATTTTTAAATGGGATACATATCCAACGATTTGATGCCGGTGGCAATGTCCCCGCTAGACTAATGATATTACTAATATATTGGATCATCAATTTCCTTATGTTACTAATGACTTAATGATATTAGGAATTGACTTATGACAATATATGATATACATTGATATACTTAGTCCTATTTTCATGATCATTTTGACAATATATGATATACTTCTATGTTCATCTTTTCTTTGTTGGATGAATTTAAATATGAACAAATTCTTGGGTCATATTTTTATGGAAAAGTGATGGTAAGATCAATCAAAACCTGTTGGGACACCTATTTTTGGACCTCAACTCGATGGAGTTTTTCTGGGAGAATCATCCCTGGCTTCCGCACTCGCCTTATCTCGCCTTGCAGCTGCGAACATGGCGCCATGGAGAAAAGGTCATTAGAACAGCCATGAATCAATAACAAGCAACATCATCCTTGAAGGTATGGCAAAATCAAAGCCATGGATGCGAGATTATATGATGAAAACGATATAACGCGATATACCATGATAAAAGTATATACATGTATATAAATGTATATAGATGTATATAAATGTGTGTGAATGTATATATATATACACATGTATATAAATGTTATATACGGTGAATGGTGAAGACGGAGACATGACATAGCACAAACTTTCCGCAGACGCTAATGATTTCATGGCTTTGCCACGGACACTTGCTTCAGCCGTGACGGCGAAGATGCCGCCGCTGTGGTCGAATCTTTGGTTAGACCTTCGGGCGTTGGGCGTGTTTCGCCTTGCTTTAGGTGCTGCATCCCTTGTAGAAGTCATGGAACTGATCACTTTCCAAGGAGCCTTTCTGGATGAGAATGGAGTGTGTCCACCGGCCAGAATGTCCAGTGGGACGATGTTTGACCTGTACTTGGCATGCAAATCACCTGAAAGTGTTTTTGTGCTTCTACTGATGCACCTGCTAGCCGTGCTGTGCTTCATGTTTGGATTTTGGACCCGACTCAGCGGCTTCGTTTGCTGGGTCTTTGCCATGTCCCAGCATCATCGCTTAAGTAACTGCGTGGAATATGGGGGTGATCGGTTGAGAAGTCATCTATTCTTTTGGTCCTTGTTTCAACCCCTTGGACTTGTGTGGTCCATAGATGCCTACTTGCAGTCTGGGAAAGCTTCACAAGTCGATGTTCCAGCTACGGAATGGATACCATTGTGTTTCTGTCCAAGGGCAATAGAGGAATTGCCACACCCGAAAAAGGAGAAGCCGGTGAGGAATACTGCTGCACCACTCAGTGCCTTCCTAATCTTGCTTCAGCTGGCCTCCATGTACGAATACACAGCTTCAACGAAATTGGGTGAAAGCTGGCAAAGTGGAGACGCAGTTCTGCAAACTTTGCACCTCACACAGTACGCTCGTCAACCAGTGGCTAGCATCCTGGCTTTGTTCCCATCCATTTGTCGTCTCTTTACACATGCAACTCTCTACATTGAAAAATATGGCTGGCTCTTGGCTTTTTTGCCCTTCCAGCTTTCAAGGCTCCTGGCCTTCAGCATGTTCTTCGGCCTCCACTTTGGCCTAAACTTGAGTCTTCGCGTTGGGGGTTTCCAGCTCTTTGTTCTCAGTGCTTGGTGCGTGGCTTTGCCTCGCTGCATGCTGGACTTGTTGGAAGCACAACTGCAACGTTTCTGGCCGCGCTTTGCCCAACTCTTGGTTATTTCGCAGACTCCAGTGGGACCATCAGCTGCAAAGAGAGCAATGAGGCTGGGATGTGTCACCGCATTCAACCTCCTGGGATTTTCCCTCATATTTCTGGCCATCGCTGAGGGTTGTCTTCATCGCGATCGTAACCAATGTGCCATGGCGCCGCTCATGCGCGATTTCGGTGCCCAGCAGCTGTTGAAGAAGCTGGATCTGCTGCAGAGGTACAACATGTTCTCCCCAGATCCCCCCAGAAAGGCCGTGCGGGTACAGCTCTATGGTGTCTTGGCCTCATCCCAATGTAAGGTTGGCGTCCAGGAATTTTGGAAATATTGCCGGGTCGTTGAGTTATGGAGCGATCGGGGATTCCCCTCCTGCGCGACCAAGATGTCACTGCAGACCTGGGATAATCTCTCTGCACCTGCGAGGCAGCCGGTGGATTTCGCAACGAATCGATGGAGGAAACTGGTGGAAAAAACCGAAAAGAGCAAAGGCCTTGGAGGATACATGTGTTCCCAATGGCAAGCCAGTCACTCACCTTCCCAGCTGCTTGGGCTGTGGTTGGTGCGGGTGTCCTCGGAATGGCCCAAGGTGAAGGAAAGCTTCACAGCTGAGATGAAATACTGGTGCAGTTCCCATGCGAAGGAGTTGATGCAGAAACTGCCACCGCAACCGTGGCTGGACTGATCCAAAGCTGATCGCAGCGCAGAATCAGAAAGGCCGAGGTTTGGAGCTGTTTCAGCTGACCACAAGATTCAACATCCAAGCCAGCTGGCATCAAGGGGTCCCGTGTTTTACACCATTGTTGAAGGAACTTGAAGCCATCACCTCAATCAGTTTACCCTCTGGTAATTTTACATAGCGAAGTGGAAAATCAGCATCTTGAATAGGTAAATCAACATAAATCAACTATACATAAATGAGACCATTTTCCATAGCCCATAGCTATGTAACAAACTACCAGAGGATTGGCCTCATGGGGCACCCCCCTCGGACGGCCCAGTTTCGCCACAATGGTGCGGCTCATCTACGAGCCGAAGTACAAGGCGCGGACGCGGACGCCTGGTTGCCATGGAATGCCAATAAAAGGCGAAGGAGATAGCCATGGACGTGAACCAACAATATCTGGATATGATATTATTATGCATTATATAATATGTATTATATAATATGTATCATACAATATGTATTATATAATATGAATATATATATATATATATTCATATATTTGTTGGTATCATGGGGGATGCCAACTACGAATACTAGGTATATCTAGGCATGGTAGTGTTACGATGTGATCGACATTTGCTGGTTTTGAGACCTTAGAATTTTAGCGGGTTGTTCCTTTTCCCTTCGAACGGGAGAAATCACAGGTGGCGTGGCATGACTCATCCCTGTATATATCTTGGTAGAACGCCATGACTGTGATCAAACATGGCTAGCTGGAAGATTTCCCCATTTAGTTCGTTTATGTTCTGATGTTTGATTGCCGGAGTGTATCCCCACCATCATTCAGCACATGAACGTTTTTTGAACATATTGACGATTCTACTTGAATATATATATATATACATATACATATATATATATATTCATATATATATATACAATATGCATATAAAATGATTTGATATTATAAATTAGTTTTTTTGGGGGTTATGAATGTTAAACTGATTTTTTTCAAGATATTTGTTGATCTTTCACATACTGTTTCACCATCCCAGCATGACGCCAGGGTTGCCTGGATCTTTGCGCATGTTGCCTTCGAGCCGTACAGATGCTGCTGCGCATTGCTCGGACCATGTTTGAAGGCGCCATGTAAACACCATGTTCTAAGCATAGAGAACAGGTAAACCATAGGTAAACCATAATTTTGGCAAATTGAATATCTAAATATATCTAATGGATCATTATTAAAACCCCAAACAACATAGAAACTATATATATATTATATAATTATCTACTTTTTCCTACAAGTTTGACCCGTGGCAGTAAGGCTGTTTTACATTATACATTGTTTTTCTAAACCTGCAGATGGCGAGGTCTATGATGGGGTTTACGATTTTTGGTTTGGAACAAACATCACATTGCCTACAGAACTGGGGCACACCTCCCACACACATTGCTATTTTTTTAAAGGGACATTAGGTGTTTCCAATCTGCTTCCATTCACAGCGGAGCGCCACGTCGCCAGATTCCGATCCTAATCTGGGCTGGAAGCAGTTCGTTGGAAGCTCAGTTAGTCGGTGGCCAGGTAGAAGTCCCCCGAGACTCGATGTTCACAATGATGAGCTTGTCCAAATAGAAGCTTAGTATTAGATAGTATTAGTATATCCAACTTGTCACATCTATGCTATACATCCAAATCGTCGAAATTCATTGTTTGAACTCATTTTTTTGAGTTCAGCGGGATTTATGAAGTCCGAATTTTCCTTAGATTCATATTGTGTCTATATTTCACCACGCAAGGTTCAATGGCAAAATCGCAACTGGAACCCCCAAGAAAGTTGAGAAACCATAGTTTTTGCCATGACATATAGATGTTTCATACTCTTTCCATTTCCTCTATAACTTGTTTTTGGAAGGTTGTGCTTTTGGATGCGATCTCTATAAATCGAAGAAAAGAAGCTGGACTCTGTTCATCCCGCCTCCCTTCCCTCTAAACTCCAACAATCATCCTTACCCTTTTCCATATAGTGACGCACAGCAGTACTCCAAAATGGAAAATTCAGGTTTGAAGGGCCCCCAAATAGAGACGAATTGTTCCGGTGCCAAAACGTGTTCAAAAATGGCAATGGTTTTCCAATTTCTCTTGTATGTTTTTTCATTTATTTGTGTTCTCATTATTTTCTTGATTGAACCTGATTCAGCAACCTATGGACATTGATGGCATCCCAAGCCACAACCATCCCAATCTCTTTCAAACAACCCCACTGTAAAATCAGAGACCAGGTACCCCAATATTAAGGGTTCACATGTTTCAATAGACTTCGTAAAACTACAATTTTGCAGATTTTGATTTTATAGTGGACCATGTAGATGACTTTAAGGGAAAAAACCTGCTCAACGGTAACCTGGAACCCTGATTCCTGATGTGATTGACTTTTGAGAGTTATAAACAGGCATTTGTAAACATGTGGCGCCTTATTTGTCCTTGATTTTATTCCTTGATTTTACAGAGTCATATTTGTTGCAGTCTGGTTTTTTCCCGATTTTAAAAAGTGTACCTTTATAGTGGAACCCAGGTACCTCTATAGAATCACCAGCCACCAGTGAAATTCAGAAGGGGATGCCATTTCCAGTTCCATCAGATTTTTTTCCAACATGTCCATGATCTCCCCAGCATTTTGGTCGCCATTTTTGACCTTTTTTCCACCTTTTCCAGGTCGAGTTGGCCGGGAAGACCCAGGCCGACTTGGCCTTGCCAGAACTCCGACTGCTAGCCGAGCAGAAGGCGACCATCAAACATATGGGCTGTGGTTGAAAGTTGAAACTTATATAATTACTGGTAAATGATGCTTGGTGTGCTAGGAAATAGTGGGCTCAATCCCATTTGGTTCGGGATTGTGCTGAGAATAGGAAAACCTCTTCACCAACAAGTATTTGACAGGATGCGATAGGAGTATTTTTCAGGACCCTAATCTGGGTTTGTCCGATGCTATTTGTGGACAACACATGGGGTACCAATGGGCCCAGGCGGTGGGTACTTGGATTTCAGAACCCCAAAATGACTGGAAGGCCCTCATTGTCACTGTGGGAAGATGAGGTTTGTACCTTGTGGGAATGTTCAACTACTTTCAGCAAGACACTGAAAGTGTCTATACTCATCTCCCATTGGAGATGGCCTTGGGGGCCTTGGGTTTGCCCCATGAATATAGATGAATATAATATAATATAGTCGCCAATTGTGGGTATGCCCAACAAGCGGGTATGTTCTGAAACAAGTGCTAGATGCTAAAACTGGATATCACAGATTATTCTTGAGTTTGCCATAATTTGCCATTTTTGTTGGTGGGTCAAAACCTATTTAATCACCATGGAGAAGCAACATCCACCAACCAACGATTTTCGGGTACTTTTCGGTTTTGACGAACCACCAACCACTGGGCCCAGGTGGATCGAGTGGTTGCCAGCAATGCCATTACGGTTCTGGCTGAACTTGGCCCCTATGAGCAGTCCTCAGCTGGACATCATCTGATTTGTTCCGAAGTTCCGAAGGACTCGATTTCCTGCGATTTTCTAGGGGAAATAGTGAATATATTCTGGTGTTATATTGGTTATATGATGTTATATGATATATATATATATATATATACATATGATAGATAGATATTCCGGTTATGTCCTATATGTATCATCTCAAAATTCGCGCAGTATCGATTTCCTCATTCTGACCGTTGCCGCATGAATTTCGCCCATCGGCTGAGGCTTTGAATTCCCAGTTGGTGCCCCGAGTCTTAGAGCTCTTCGAGGACCTCAACTGGAGATGGCTCGGACTAGAGCAGAGTAGATTACTGATTGGTGGTTTGGAACATGAATTTTATTTTCCCCAATAGTTGGGATGATCCAATCTCACGAACTCATATTTTTCAGGGGGGTAGGTATGCCATCAACCAGATTAGATTAGAGTAGATGAGATTATGTAGATGAGATTAGACAGACAGCTCGATCGATTGATCTAGATATAGATACGGACATAGACATGGATATAGATAGATAGAGACTGGGTAAATTATAACGACCTCACTGTGACCTCACTATAATCATTAGTTAGTAAGGGGAATCATCCCAAAATGGCCTTAATTCAGGTTAGTGAATTATTATAATTTACCCAGATAGAGAGCGTATCTTACGACGGATGACCCATCGAGGAGACACCGGATCGCGCCAGCGACTTATCGGAGGCTGGATACATAGCTGATGCTGACACCATCAGAACAGACCCAAAAATGTTTGTTACACATGGCAATTCAATCATCCATCATGAACTCAACTATATACTATATATATAATTATATACATATATACACATGATGGCATCATGTATATATATATATATATACATAGTATGTAGTTGAGTTTCCCCTATAATAAAAACATCTTAAAACCTCAGATTTCTCAGCTTGCCCACGGTTTGACTACTGGTTCTACCTGCTTCGCAGGTGGCCCTACGCGTGCCTTAGCTGAGGGATGGACGACCTTGGAAAAGCCAAGAATCTTCATCCCCGTTATGGATATGTAATTATGGATATTATTTATGGTATGTAATAATCCAATATATCCCCGTCATTAAAATAGAAATCAAAAAAACATATTATGGATATTTCATGGGATATAATCCACAATATATGATTAATAATCCAACAGTAAATATTAATATCAGATATGGCTTTGTCATGGTTTGACTGAAATATGGTACCCTAAGTTCCAATGGGTTACTGTATCATAGTTACCCCCATTAAACTTGCCATTTGGGGGTATACCACATTTGCTGATGGGGGATGGACAAAAGATGGGAAGGAAACCGCCAAGTTCTGTGAATTAAACTAACCAATACATACTCAACCAAGTCTTCCTTTTGAGGGTCATTAGGCATTGTAGGGGTGCCCCAAAAAGATAGAACGTATTTTCAGGATGGTAGTTCGATGATGGTTTTTTTCCCCATCATTTACAGGTTAAAACCTGCCCTTGTGGCCAGGTGCATGCGTGGGGTGGAGAGTGCAGAGAACAGCTGTGCAGCGCCATCGCGGGAGACTTGGGCGATACCATTTGGGGATCACCATGGACCCAAACTTTGCAACTTTGCACACTTTTGAAGTGGTTTTCTAAAAAACATTGTTTTTGTAGATATGTCTTTGTATTAGTTTTCGTATGGTTTTCCAGCATTTTTTCTTATCTTTTGGGAATCCACGTGTCTTAAAAACCAGGTGGAAGTGAACCACACTGGTGGCCACCTCCTCGTGGAGGCGGAACGGACCTTGCAGGTTTCATCCAAAGACGACGGGTGGTTTTCTATGGCGTTTAATAAGGTGTTTAATGATATCCTCCACCGTTTTTTTTTTTCGATTTTTCAAGATTTAATGGTGTTTAATTTACTGTTTAATTGTTTTTTTTTTTTATATTGGGTTTACATCATATGGTTTAGTCAAGTAGAAATTGGGCTTTGATGGTCCTGCTGGCTGTGAGGTGAAAATGGGGTGTAGATGAACCCCCAGATCTTCCCTCTTTCCGGATGGATGCCGGACTCAAAACTCTAAGCCTCCGAGAAGATGATGGCATAAATGACATTTTGTATATGCATAATATAAAATATATATGAAATGTTGTACAAATATGTATATATAAATGACATATGTATATATATATATATATATCTCGGACAGATTCACGCACTCGCGCACGGCGGTAGCAGTGCGGCGAGAGCAGGTCAGAGGGTCACCGGCGAGCTGCTTTGTACACACAATAAGGGTGACTGGAAGAGTTTGCCCCCAGCCACCTTCAGAGCATAGCCCACAGACCGCAGGAGTCAGAGGGTAAACATCAGGCTGCTTTGTACACACAATAAGGGTAACTGGAAGAGTTTGCCCCCAGCCACCTTCAGAGCATAGTCGACAGACTGCTGAGCTGCACTATCATGGCCGCCCCAAGAGAAGTGGGTACCGAAAACGAAATTGGCTAGACGTGCGCTGACCAAATAAACACTCGTTGGTTGACATCGGTCAGGTGAGCAGCAAGCGTGCATAGCTCCCAAAACATGATACAAGCACAACAAGGGACAGGGGAAAAACACGATCATGGTGCGGCCCCTGGGCTCAAGCCGTGTAGATCAGAATGCCACAATCTTTCTCCTTCGTGCAGGTTCGAAGCCACCAGGTCCTAGCCATGGACTGAAACAAGCACTAGTGCTGTAGTGCCTCTCCATTGCTTTGCCGATAGGAATGCTGTTGTAGCTTGGAAAAGCTACATAGCAACTGCATGATTGCCTCACAACAAGGTCCACCTGATTCACAGAGCAAGAGGAGCCACAGTCACGAAAATACCGGTTGCTCTTGGGCAGGCGGCACTCACGTCCAAAAGCCCCCAGGCCGTCTGGGAAATCACGCCTTGTAGAAAAAACAACTTCATGCATCAGGTCAACAGGCAGCACCGCCCAGTCGCAGCTAATCACAGTCGGACAAGAAATGCACTGCTCAGGCGTGCTCACCAGGCAAAAGCAAAGGCTCGATTGTGCCGAGAAGGCAACCAAAGGGTATGACATCAAAACCACTCCGCCAAGTGGGTGCACGGCATAAGTACGAACCATCATTGTGAAACGTCGAGGTTCAGTCGTAACAGCCGCACCACTGGAAGGACTCGACCCGTCACGGCTGTATATATATATAATATAATATAATATAATATAATATAATATAATATAATATAATGTACGTACCTATAGATGTTATAAATAGCTTTGCTGGGCCTCATCGTTGATGTCTTACTTTCACTTCTGCCACTTCTGAAAACGCATTGCGGTCGTTGCGGTAGACACAAACACATTCTTTTGAGGTTCGCGGGATGGCAACTCATTCTCAAAATTGGGTCCCCCAAAAATCAACATGGCTTCACACAAAGTTCAGAAAATCAGCCATAAACTTGGGGTCCCATTTTGTCAAGGCTTTTTTCCACTTGCAGATGGAGATTTCATGATGACCTGCGGCGGCAGGTGTTGCTGCAGATGATCAATAGATGTGACTTCAAACGGCAGCAGCGCGCTGCGAAGGCATTGCTTTGGCCGAATCAGTCCCTTTATACGTATGTTGTACATGTTTATATGTATAATTATATGTGCAACTATATATATATATATATTATATATATATTATATATATATATACATAGAGAGTATACTTATGTAGCTGGGAATATCCCATCCACTCGGCAACGTTTGTACTGAAAATGCCTTAGAACCGGGTCCCCGTGAGCCATCGTGAGCCCGCAGGTCTTGACTGGATGCTTTGTTCTGACGCGAGGGAAGGAGTGGATGTACACCAATGACTCACGTCTTCTGGCCGCTGGGCCCAGCTGAGCGATGTTTCACTAGCACGAAAATTCGAAGGATGATTTAGCCCTTTAAGGTGATAACATAGCTATTGAAGATGGGCATCTATAGTTGATTTACATTGATTTACCTATTCAACATGGGGGATTTTCCGTTTGCCAAAGGCTATTTGTAATAGAATTGGAAGCTTACCCGCGTGATATACCCCGTATGGATTACTATGACCTCATGGCAATGTCGCCAGATATAATGGTGACACGGCGAATTCTGTGACATTCACTGGATTTCAGGTTGGTGAATACTTCTTCTTACTATTACTGTTGCTATTTCTAGTACTAGTACTACTACTGCTACTACTGCTAAGACTACTGCTAAGACTACTGCTAAGACTACTGCTACTACTGCTATTAATTATTACTGCTATTAATTATTACTGCTATTGCTGCTACTATTATTACTATCACTGTTACACCAGTACTATCACTTTATTACTGCTATTCTTTAATAAATATATATATATGATTCTTGTTCGATTCCTATTCATATCTATCAACCCTATGTTTTTTCATCACCAGACTCGGCCAGCAAAACACCAGGTGGAGCTGTTGCTCCGGGAGATCCCGGCGAAAGCGGAGGACCCCAAGGCCTTTCGCTGTTTCAGCACCTGCGTCAAGGCGGCAACGTCGAATGGGAAAATCCGCAGGTGTTCCCTGTCGAATCCATGGATTGATGTGGGTATGGGTCAGTACCTATAGATACATTTTAGTGGGATGAACATCCAGAACTACCAGCTATTTTGGGGTTCACTAGGTACCAGGGTTTTGACCCATCCCCATGTGTGTTGATGAATTGGAGAAACAGATCGGAGGATATATGAGGATATGGATGGATATGGCAATTATATTAAAACACACTCCAACTAAAAATTCTGCGGCAATTTTGATGGAGGGTGTGATTTGTTCCTCTGGACATGGGGAAACGTGGGAAAGCATGCCAGAATGTGTGGGATTTCATGAGGGTTAGTACGGTTAGTATTGGGATTGTGGCACACATGTGTTTTCTCAACCATGATGATGGGGTAGCTTGCTTTCATACATAGAAACCATTGGACCCAAATGAAGGGTATCCGCGAAACCGTTTGGGAATTGCGGATGGTTTGACCCATAGCGGATACGGATACTCCATTGTGATCCATTCGCAAATCAGGTGGATAAGCCGGATACACTTAAGTCATTTAGGTTGCTTGAATCATGCAATTGTGGGTTCATTTCACGCAAGAATAGCTGCTTATATAATTGGCGGGGGTATCATTTAAGTAGCAAATTATCACAATTAGTGGGAGTCCTCCTAATTAGTCACGAGGGTTTTGTCTCATCCGGGATTGACATCAATATCATTAACTATGGTTGGATAACCACATTATGATCCATTTACAGTGATTTACCAACCATGGATTACTAATCACATACATATATATATATATATGTATATGTATATGTATATAAATCACTGTGTACCAGCCATACATAATTCACTATTATTTTTAACAGTATTTAAATCATAGTCAAATCACAATTACTATAAATCACTTTTGTCATAGTTAACTAATCATACACAAATCACTATGTTTGGATACATACATACATACATACATACATACATACACATACATACATACATACATACATACATACATACATACATACATGTATATACATATTAATCAAAGCCAACTATGGTTGGCAATATCACTAATCATATATAGTAATCATCAATCATCAACTATATATATTAAACGCTAACTACATAGATAGATATTAACTAATTAACTATGGGTGTTATATCAGATATCATTAAAAGTTCTAGCCCATGGACATGTTCCGAATATCGGCCTGGCAGGCACTGCTGCAGTGCAGCCAAGCTGCTGCAGAGCACCGACGAGACGAACTGTGGCAGGTTCAATCGGTCATCTCCATGGAAAAATGGATGAGAACATCTATGGTATTCCTATAGGAAAGCTTCATTAATGGTAAGCATTCCTATGGTAATAATATGATTAATATGGATTTCATGGGTTGATCATGGGGATATAGCAACCATGGTTGGACGAGTTATGGGTAAAATGCCTCGATAGGAATTTTCACATAGAGGTGGTACAGATGGCCAATGAATAATTCGATGATTTACCGATTAAATATCCTGAAATTCATGGCGATTTTCAGGGTCGCAAACTTTGAAACGACCAGAGGGTAAGCATGATTTATAGGGTTTTCAATCATCAAGATTATGGGGGATATAATGGGATATAGCTGAATATAGTTGATAATCATAGTTGATTAGTTCGAGGTTATTAGTCTATCCTTTCTGTCTTATGTGGCTTACCATAATCCATGAACTTGGAATCCCGTTCTTACCCAACAAGTATTTCATGGAATGACATTTCGGGTTTTGAACACTGCTCACTTGAAAATTCTGGGTGTTTTCGAGGACCTGGCCACTAATACCCAGCACAATTTAAGATGGACCTAAATTCATCCTTTGTTTGAAATGATGTGAAACATAATACAACCAACATCAACATGTATAATTATATAATATATGTTGTACTGGAGAATCCCACAAATCCATATTCATCTACAAACCGGTATGGCTCAAAGTATCAATCTCCCAACTCGATCGCAATTTTTCAAAAACCCAACGCTTGCAAAAAAAAACAATCCATTGGATCCAATAGATGATCGAAAAGATTGATGAACCGTAGGCCATAAGGTACTTGGATGGGTAATGGAGTCAGTTAATTGATAAGTAGAAGGTGATAACCCATTGTATAATTACACAATCTCAGTTGTAACAGGATATAACTTACGAATTTGGTTCGTCTGACACTCGCCCTCAATGCCGGCGGATTATATCAGGTTATTAATGGCTATCATCATTTTTCCCTGAAAAGGCCATTATTTTTTTGGGGTGCACCCCTGAATTTTGGACAAAACTGATAGACTCTTAAATATACCCAGCTATAATGACAACGGGTTCATACATACACCATATTACCAAAACATGCATTCCAGTTATTTGGCATATGGGTATACCTCAGTGCATATAGCTATGTTATCCCCATAAAATTCCCATAGATGAAGTTACTTGGGATGTTTACTGAACAATCCCCATGAAATCCCCATGAACTATCCCACGGAAAATCCCTATAATACTAAATCCATATCATTCCATATGAAATCCCTATTATGACCATAGATGGTTACAAAACATCTCGACCATATATGGTTATCCCATGGAACAAAAACCATTAAATCCCATGAAAAATCCCATGAAAAATCCCCATAAAAACCATATGAGATCCCTACTATGATCTGCCATCACCCGCCATCGCGTAGGTCATGGAGGACCTGCGTCAGGACGATCGTTTGGAGCCAGCGGTGCGGCAGGACTGCGCAGAGGCGCCCCGGGTGCGGAGAGATCATGGGGAGATCATGGGGGGATCAACTAACTATGATCATCTATGGTATGATTTAATAGGGCATTTAATGGTAATAATATGGAATCTAATAGGGATTTAATGATCAATATGGTTAAATGGTGTTAAATGGATATTGGAATCATAGATCCATCTATGGTTACGATCATAGGATATTAATCTATATGCATTTAATAGGGATTTTTCATGGGATATATTCATATCCTATGGAATCTAATAGGGATATCATCTATGGTAATAGTATGGAATCTAATGGATATTGGAATCATAGATCTATCTAGTAATTAGTTTCTTTTTTTCCATCATAATATGATCATCTAGGGATATTACCATCATGATATGGAATCTAATAGGGATTTAATGATCATGGGATATTTGCGGGATTTAACTGGGATATACGGATATATTTTATGGGATTTAATGGGATTTAAAACATGAAGCCATTGAACATATCAGTGTTGATTGGTTAGTACAGGGGATTTACCTGGTGACTGTTGATATATTGATTATGGGAATCCCATTCTCACCCAATCAGAATATATATATATAATAGGATGGGAGGGATATTTTTCATGGCTCAATGGGATTTATGTATATACAGATTTTTATGAGGTATAATGGGCTTATGCCCAAAATTATGTTTTAATTAATAGGATGAGATATGATATATAAAACAAATTTGAACATATAATATATCGTCCTATTATATAATTATATCATATTTACCATCATTAATAGGTATATAGGACATGGGTAAACAACCATAGATTCTATGGGATATTGTGGGACAATCATCTACAAATGGAAATATGTTGATATGAAGGGTGCTGTAGGTCCAACAACATGATATAAAAATGGGCTTATGAGTCCCGAACATGATTGGTTTTAAACAAACAACAGTGACCCACTGTTTGAGATAAATGCAAACAACATTTCTGGAGCATAGAATGGATGGACATTCAAGATTCTAGAAGCATCAAGCAGCGTTCATTAGTTCATGGCTCTGAAAATGCGAGGACCGGATCCCCCGATTTTGGTCAACCATTGATCCATCATGAAACTCACTGGAGTGCGGGGACCTTCCTAGGACATTCGTAGAATTACCAAGAATTTGAATGGAGTAAACCCTATTTACCAACAATTTGAATGGGGTAAACCCCATTATTGATATTATTATATTATTAAATTTACTTTTGCCAACAATTTGAGATACTTTACCAACAATATGAATGATGGGTGTGTCTGAGAATGGGTTTTTATGCAAAATCGGGGAACGGCATTTTTTTCATGGGGGGAACGATGATGAACCACTGAATTTGACGATGACTTTCGCATGGCTTGGGGTGATTTCAGGGAACATGACAGGAAAACCAGGGTGTAAACGTGTGTAAACATGTTTTCCTGTGAAATTTCTCTGGTTTAACCATGGTTTAACCATGGTTTTCCGTGGTGAAACCAAGGTGTTCGCAAAATTATCTCCTGGTTCCCTGTGAAAATTCTCTGGGATGGTGAAACTCAAAAATCCAACTGTGATCTCCAAGGGCTGATTGTCAGCACACTAATAGGCCCTTTGGGCAAACCTGGGGATGTAACCAATCAAACAAATCTTGAGGTGCCAACAAAGAACTATCTAAAGCAGGAGTTGATAGCATTGCCTATGCAGGACCGGAGAGCAGGGAACCAACCCTTTTCCTCACAGCAGCCAAGCCAATAAGTTCGCTCAGTTTGCCTGTATTTCTTACCATCGCCTGAAAATGAGACGGGTGTTTCATGCCATTTCATGCCGCATGATGTGGTGGTTAAGCCTTGAATAAACCTTGAATAAGCCTGAATTATTAACCATTATTGATTATTAACCATTATTAACCATTATTAACCACATTTATTCCCCACTGGCGATAGCTCCGATAGCTTGGGATCCGACATCCTCAGGTCTTGGAAGTGATGGGTCTGGATGTGCCAATGAGCGATCCATGAATCGATGCTCCAACGGTTGGTTGTCGGATCCATGTGGAAAAGAGCGATCATACGGCAGTGGTGAACATCAAAATAGCTGGGTTAACATGGATGTGAATAACCCCCTAAAAATGGTATTTTTATAGGTATTGATCCATACCCAATACCATGAAATACGACTGTTGCATACTATTGACCTATTGCTAGCTGTGACTTGTTGAAAGTGGTTCAGACTTGTTGAACTTTTTCACTGGAAAAGATGCAGAACATTGCAGAACGAACTGGGTGTGTCCAACGAAGTGGACATCCAGCGCACAAGCTGAGAACTCATTATTTTTCTTCGTTGTCGAATTCGCGAATTCGTGAGTCCGTGGCGTGGGTTGTCAGGCGGACAGTGGGGGGAGGCGTGTTCGACACAGAGATTTGTTGGTAGATCCCCCTGTACAAAGACTACTGCCAGCAGCCAGCGACTGTGACTTCTCAGGTGTACTCAGTGATGTAATTATGTGGATCAAAACAATGGATAGCATGTGATAGTAATAATATATAATAATATGATATAATATAACATAACATAATATAATATAACATAATATAGTATGATATAATATAATATAATACAATATAATATAACATAATATAATATAATATAATGTGATATGATAAAATACAATATACCATAACATAATATAATATAATATAATGCAATATATGATATGTATATCTGAGAACAATGGATAGCATGTAATATAGATCAAAATCACATTGCTACCATGGACCATCGAAAATGAAAAACTGTTTGTTGTCGTGATTTGTTGTGGATTACATCCTTCTGCGCTGGTTGTGTTTGGTCGAAATCTCATCATATGAGCTCTGCTGCACCAGGTGGCAGATCTCTGCAACAAAAAATGCGCGCATTTCATGCTGTAACTGCTGAACCCAAACCAGGAAAGAGATGGAAACACATCACGTTTCTGCAGATGTGTATGTGGCTGACAGTTTGTTGATATGTTTTTTCACATTTTTTCACTGTTACTTTTCATATTTTTTCACTGCGTATATATATATATATGTATATATGTAATTATGTGTATATATATATGTATATATATGTAATTATATGTGTATATATATATGTAATTATATGTATATATATATATGTATATATATATATACATATATATATATATGAATTCGTTCTTTGCTTGGTGAGACAGCAGATGGGTTCTGCTCGGCTCACCACTTCGCAACGGCCGGCCTCGGCTCTTGAGTTCCAAGGAGACAGCGCCCGCGGCAGACGGGCTGTGGACAACGTTGGACAAAAACCCACATTTGGCAAAAGATGCTTGAACTATATCATATATCTAATATATATATAATTATATATATATGATGACGATATATCTAAGATTATCTAAGATGATCTAAGTAGAGCTGCAAAATCTGATGATGTTCAACTTAAGAATCTGACCTGCGGGACCGGCACTTGCTTCGAATCTGCGCCATGGCAGGTGGGGAATCCTTTGACCACAGACATTGGTCACATGTGTATGCAATGTAATTCATTATATACATGATATACACACATGTAGACTCTAGACTATATAGATATACATATATAGACTATATAATTAGATATGTATGCAAATCGATACTTGGTTGCATTGTTTGCGTGTTCACAGAAGGATGTTCTAACCATTTGCCGTGATTGCACCATATCCGCTGTGCTTCCAGAAAAAACGCAACTGAAAATCCATGGACATGCCAGTGAACGTCATTTCCAGTGTTTTTGCCAGTGAATTTCCGCTGTTTGCGGATATTAGAACCATCCCATGGTCAAATTTCCGAAGGTTTGCCGTTGATGTCCTGGTTCTTTCTGGATGTCAACTCCCCATTTAGATCCTCACATTCCGGCTGGTTCAATCCCTATTTCCGCTGAACTCTTCATGTTCGACACCACAGATTCTGTGACTCACCAGCTTTCCAGCAGATTCTATAGCATTTGAAAAAGTACATACCCTCTGGTAATTTAACATAACTATGGAAAATCACCATGTTTAATGGGAAAACTCACTATAAATGGCCATTTTCAATAGCTATGTAACAAATTACCAGAGGGTATTAAACACATTAAACCATCTTTGAACCAGCCAGTTGTCGCTGCAGGTTCAATGGCCTCGGCGATCTCGGCCATGTCGGCGATGCACGCGATGGGTGGCTCCATGGGGCCTATGGGTCTGGCCCCACGTCGGGTCGGGATGGGATGCTTGGTGGTTTCACGAAGATTTGGCAGGAGGAAAAACAGATTGGTTGAGTTTTCTTGGTATTTTTTGGGGTTAGGTTGAGTATTGTTGGGATGGGTTAGATGTTGAAACATGTTTCAATGATGATTCGAGTAGAGATAGTACAGTGGGAACATATTCAAATGGCAACAGTAGTAAAGTAAGGCAACAAATGCTGTTTTCAAATAATGATGTATTTTATCAATGAACATGACACCAGCAAATAATAGTAGACTAGTAATAGCAACAATAGCAATATACCCAACATAGAACATATAGCAAAAGGACTATTCTGAGTATTAATAATAGGAACAACACTGATGATGATGATGATGATGATGATGATGATGATGACGGTGACGGTGACGGTGACGGTGATGGTGGTTGTGAGGGTGAGCATGTTGGCTCTGCCATAGCGATGATGTCAGGTCTTTGCTCTGTGCACGGCAAGAACAGAAGTCTGGAGCGGTTTCAGCGCACCGGATTTTCGTGGGTTTTCTCACGGGGATCTACTGGGATATGGGATGTACTAACCAAGACATGACATTTGGATCATTTGGGCTGGCACCAAACTGTGGCATACCCCGAAATGGCCGTTTCTCATGGGGAACATGATGGATCCTGGATCTGCCGCAGGAAGCACTGACTGACGATGGCTATGGCGGCATGATGTGCACGCAAGAAAAGCAGTGCAAAGTGTCTTGCACTTCGAAAGTGTGTTGGTACCTGAAAACCAGGGGAACCTTGGGAACCCTTGGGATCTGATGATATCTGATGGTTACTCAATGTTAATCGTCATATTTACCATTATATGATGGAGAATCCCAAGCGTCACATTTGCCATGTCCTTCCACCTTTTTCAGTCACCACTTAATGAATACATGCAGTAGACATCTCCATGTATCTATCTGATCCTCACTGTTCTGCTTAGGTGGCTGGAGCAGGAACGAAGCACATCCCTTGCACGTTTTGGCAGGCGACGTACTTGGAGGATATTGGACGATCTTCAGTCCTTTCGTCTATATCAGTTTGATTCTGCCAGATCAGTAATGTCGACGTAAAAAATCACCCATAACCAGGCTAGGATTTATGGTGGATGGCTATGGTTACAGATGGGGTTACAAACCAACAGAACTGGGGCAGCCCTTCCTGTACTCCACTCCTGTCCGCTAGGTTGGCAAGTGCACCAAAGGAGACAGCTGTGCCATGGCTGAAAGCGGAAGTTTCCAAAGTTTTAACCACCCTGGCGCTGGTTTATCAGTAGAAATGAGGTTTTGCCAAGAACAATTTGGTTTTAGTCAAGACCTTCATTTTTGCCCGACCAATGATTGGGATTTAGCCAACAAAACTCGGCATTTTCCCAGATTTTCGCCATTTGTGGGGATATGATCATCTTTGATCGATACTTTGATGGGGATCATCGTGCAAGGCGAATGTAAATGTCATTCATTTTCATGACAGTTAACATGAATCAGTTAAACTTGTAAACTTGGAATCAGTTAAAATCATTTTCGAAGTTTCATTCCAATGTCCAAACCATCAGTTTTTTTTTGTTCATTGATTTTCGGATATTTTCGCGGAAGACGTCTCAATTTACGCACCATTTGCGGAAGCTAAAACCGTCTTCCGACACAGCTAGCTTTCCTGAGTTGAAAGGCTATGTTGAGCCCAGAAATCTGCAAAAGGGTCTATGCCATTGCCATTCAGAAGAGCTAACGGGGTTGGGGCACCGCAGCATCTTCCATCTTTCTTATTCACGTCAATCATGTTGAAATTCTGGACATTACGAATTCTACCGGTGAAGCGGCGACAAAGTCTAAGTCCCAGTAATGCAACAGGTTTCGGTCACTTTGAGGGTTGACAATCCATGCAAAAGATTGGGTCTGGTCTGGTAATCTACCTTCCCCATCACAATCGTCACAATGGCAAATCGCACAATCTTAAGCTACTAGTTTCTGTAGTAAGTGAAGTGAAGCTGTCATGATATTGTTTGATGAGGTTTCCCAGTTTCTTGTCATGGCTAAGATTCCTGTTGATCCCTTATCCCCTAAGGTAATTTCGCGCATGTACCTGACAACGGCCCGATGGACGGTGGAAAAGGGGGCTTTGCTGGGAGCCCAGAGTTTTTTTTTTTTCAAAAAATGGGCGAACATGTCACTGTCCAAGAATGGTGCATTTCCAAAAGTACCACAATGGGAAACATGATCCATTCAAAGTGAGCTGGCTTTTTTTTAAAGACAAACCCAGATGGTTATGGGTGAAAATTATCCAAACATTTGGGGACTGCCGATGCCCTGATTTATTGAATGGGAAACATGGTGAATGGGTATCAGTCTCGATCTGACATGATGCTTTGATATGTGTGATCATCCTGAAGTAGATACAAAGCTATTCCCATTTTAGTTCTTTTTTTGTTTTTCATATTTATATACTCCAGGATGAATGTATATATATATATAATTATAATATACCCACATATGATCTAGATGTATGTGATACCTCCTAAAAATGATTATTTTCCATAGCTATGTTCAATTTCCAGAGGGTATACAACGGATCTCAGCCACCAGCCGCTGAGGATGGCGGAAAGGGCAAGGGCTGGGGCGGTGCTGGTGATGGTTGTTTTCCAATGGAGAAGGGCATGGACAAAGGAGGATGCAAAGGAGCGACTCGTCCAAGATTTGGCCCAAGGATTAATCCCAGAGCTGAAGGTTTATACCTGGGAAAACAATGGAAAACATGTACAGGTGTGGGATGGATGTTTTTTTTTAAAAAAAATATTTTGTATTTTCCGAACTTTCACAGCATTGCTTCAAAAGAAAATCCGCAGTTGAAATCCCGGCGAATTTGGGGATCAAAAGTTGTTTCCGAATCCATGGAACTCGGTTCCGTGGTGTAGCTATTGCCAGATGCTGCTTGATGATACAGGATCCAGATATCTCTGGAAATGGGGAGGGGATACCTCGATAAGACATATTAAAACGTAGCATTTTGATAGATAATGATGATAGAGCCTCGATTTGCTGTGGGGGCACCTTTGGGATATGTCCCGATTTGATCCGATTCGGCACGTGGTTCGATATCAAGCTTGGCCCAGTTAGTTCTGGTGGCTGAATGGGGAATGAAGATCCGTTTACAATCAGACTCACATATTGGTAACTATGGTTGTTTTTGGTAAGGACCCCGCGAGGGCGTCGCGGAGTGTTGCCGTTTTTTCATGTTTACGTCATTTTCGAATCATCCATTTCATTCCACGTTCTACACTGTTTTCTTGCGCGCCGTTGCATTTTCTGCGCTTTTTGCTGTGTTTCGTGACGGGCTTGCGGTGATAGTTGCGTGTTGGCATGCCAGGGTTTGTTCAGGGGGGGTGGGATATGTGGTGAGGGGGTGGGGTGGGGTGGGGTGGGGGGGGGGGTGGGGGGGGGGCTAATAACGTTCTTGTTTATTAACGTTCCTGCATCTTCGTTCTTGACACGCTTTTCACTTTTGCAAGTCACGGTTTGACATGCGGTCGATGTTTCGGTTTTGATATGTTGACGTTGGTGTCCGGTGGCGTGTGGGCATGGGGTTGGGTTTGGGGGGGATAAGAACGTTCACGTTAACCAGCGTACTTGCAACTACTTCCTTACACGCATTTCTTCTTTGCAATTCACATCATCATCATCTTCAACATCATCATCGTTATCAACATAATCATCATCATTAACATCATCATCAACATGATCATCATCATTGTCGACATCATCATTATCATCATCATGATTATCAACATGATCATCAACATGATGATCATCATTATCATCATCATCAATTGCTTCGGTGATGTAAAAAAAAGTTACTTCGGAGACCCATCTTGGAAGATGCATTTTTAAAAAATCACGAAATGCAGGTTTTAAAGGCATCGTGCGTTAAAAAACGCTCGACGCCTAGAAGGGGTCAGGGACCTTCCCTTGTTTTTCCGCAAACGAATTGGGTCCATAGCCCGACCGCCCGACTCGAGTCACATGCTGAGGCGATGATGGCTTGGATGCAGAAGGGCATGATGGCCATGATGTCCAAGGGCATGGACAAGGGCATGGACAAGGGCATGGGCAAGGGCATGGGGAAGGGCTGGGAAACTCAGCGCTGAGCTCTTGGCGGGTTGACTGGGATTTCAACAGGAAACATGGTGTCTTACCATGGAAGAATGGGGATTGAATGGGGGACAAAGAAAATTTAGCATCCTTCCAATATAGACCTTGCCTATCCTTGCCTAATATGGAGGGGTAGGGGGGTTGGAAGATTGCCTTCTACAAGAAATGGCTATTCTCAGGGTCTATGGTAGTTGAGGAGATGGTCTATGATCAATTTTAGATGGGGAAACTGCTGAGCAGGTGAGGCTGGATTTGGCTTGAAGCTCCGGGATTCATAGGATTTCTATCGGGTTGTCTCAAAATTTAGAACCTCCAAATCCATCCAAAAAAACATCAAAAAAAGACATCGTTTATCATGTCTATCATCATTTTTCCACCTAAACTTGCCATCTTGGGACAACCACGTGCCACCACGTGCACGCCAAGGCAAAGGCAAGGGCTACTCTCAACCCATCGGAGGTGCGCCCGGAACGTTCCAACGGTCCTGCGGTCAGTCCTGCGGCCGGACACCAACGGAGGTACCGTCCTGTGTTCCGTGCACAACAAGCAGAGAAGTGCCAATGCCGTCTGAGACTAAAGTGCCCATGATCCAGTGGTTTGAGGGATCCAGATGATCCAGTTGGTGGTGGTGTTGATATATACCTGGGAACCCAAAAGCCAGTTTTTTTTCCATTTTCTGTCATTACGGGTTTGTTGGTTGGATTGAAGGCCCGATCTGGAGAACCCAAATACGGTCTGTTAACGCGCGTGAAGTCGAAAAGAAACTTTGGGTTTTTATTGGGTTTTTATCAATATTGTTCGGTTTTTTTCTGGCGAATTGTTGGGTTGAGTGCGCCTTTGGGCCAACTTTGGCCCAAAGTCAATCAAATTGACATGTTTTTTCCATCAAATGCTACTTATTTTCAGTCAAGATGAAACAGGCACATACCGCCTGTTGACGATTTTTTTCAGTCATTGCGGAAAAAAACATGCGAAGTTGGAAATTCGACTATAAAAACATGTCATTACTAGTAATACGGCATATGAACGAAAAAATATTGACGTTTGGGTTCCCAGGTATATATATATATACATACACATTATATATATATACATATTATATATATAATATGTATATTTATCTCTTGAACTTTGGGATTGGGATCCTGTCAAAAAAGTCTCTCCAATTTCGAAAAAGAGATCCATACGAAAACCATACAACAACCATATCTAAAAAGTCACTGTTTTCGTGGACCCAGGTCATGGATGCAGGGAACGGCACCTACCAGTGCAGGTCGGGGGTTCCAGAAATGGGACGATTTTGGTGTTTTTTTTTACATTGAAATACCAGGAAGATATTGGGAGTTATCGGAATTTAACATGATTTATATGATTTTTAACATGATTCAACTGGTGATTTAAGTGTTTTTTTAAAACATGATTTAGCTGATTTCATCAAGAGTGGGGATTATGGATTTCTAACATTTTATGACCATAGATTGGAACATATTGGAACACATTTCGGGCCACGTTAGGCACATTCGTGGTTGTGATCAAAAGGTGCCCAATTTGAAAGCATGGGTTTATGAAAGCTGGAAGCATGTTTACAACAGTCACCCTCTGGGAACGTGGCACTGGAAAATGTTTTGACCTCCATTTAGTTCGGGGATTTCCCATTGCCACCTTTGAGTACTGGATGATTTCCGGAGATGTCGGGTCACAAAAAGAGGACTAATAATTAGTTCATCAACAAGAAAACTATATCAATACATTCATTACTATGAGTGTTGCTTAATATGAATCACTTTACGCGATATTTTTATACATTATTTACATTGTACATTTTATAGGGTTGCTACATGTTGCTAGATGTTGCTACACCCTTGGTGCGGAAAAAAAGACCTGTGTCATTCAGGCCAGATTCTGAATGCAAAGGCGGTGGGAGCCTTAATCGACCGGTGGGGGTGGAACCAAAAAACCGCAGCGGCTTTGTAACGTGTCATGGTATGAACTTAACAGATATTAATGTGAGTGTTAGATTATAATTATATAGATTTGTATGCTATTTTATATTAATGTTAATGTTAAGTACCCTCCAGTATATTAACATTAACATAGATAGACAGTTTTGTTAGTGGAACAAATCGTCCAACCCCCTATTTGCCAGGGTCGATGTTAATTTACTGGAGGGTATACATACATAGATACATAGATACATAGATACATAGTTACATAGATACATAGATACATAGATACATAGATACATAGATACATAGATACATAGATACATAGATACATAGATACATAGATACATACATGGATACATAGATACATACATAGATACATAGATACATACATGCATGCATGCATACATGCATGCATACATGCATACATGCATACATATATATATATGTACAATGTATTCATATGTATTCAATGTGTGAGAATTCTGATTGTTGTTCTTAGTGCTATGAATTGTCATTATGAGCATTACTGTTGTAATTGCAATTATAATATGAATAATCATGAGTACAATTATGAGTTATGATTATGATGATAATAATAATAATAATCATTTTTGTTTAATTTACATATATATATATATATACAGTATACACACAAATGTTTTTTTTTCCGCTCCAAGGCCGAAGGTTTGTGCCAACAATTCTCGGCCGCGGACCGAGGCAACAAAGTGAAGGCCGCCATGTGCTCGTTCTTCCTGAGCCTTGACGTTGACCTGGATATTGTGTGATTGAGATCACCTAGGTCGGTCACATTGGATCACCTCCCCAATCTCCAAGGGCATCCTTGGGTTTCCAGCAGAGACTTACGAACCACGCAACCACAGGGCGAATCTTGACCATGGATCATTGGGCTGGTGGAATCTTTTTGACGCGGATCCGCCAAGGGAAGGAAGATGTACGAAAGGAGAAAGCTGCAGCTTCGCGCACAGCCAAGAAGAGATCGGTCAGCCTGTTTCGGATGGTGGGGATCCTAGTTTCAGGAGATCCGTGGCGATCACCAGCCAACCATATGAGTTGGGGGGATGATCCCAGCGTGATTGAATTTGCTATTGCAATAGTTGGGAGTAGTCCGTAGTCCAGTAAATCCCCTTAAAAAGAATCAGAATTGCAGTAAATCCATAGTAAATCCCCATAAAAATAGTTGGTGAAGATTCACTTTTCACAACTTTTCTATCCAGTTGGTTGTGGATTACCGACAGTCCATCGAGTCAACCCGAGCGCAGGAGCTGGGAAGCAGTTTGATTCTGACCATCCATGGCATTTAACAAACGCAATCATAGGGATATCATAGGGATAGATCGTGGATATAATATGTTAGTATATGTGAGTATGATATCATGGGGAATTTCTATGATACCAGTCAACAACTTGATATGATACTTGGATTTGGCTCCTGACACAGATATGCTAGACGCAAGGTCGCTAGGTCCGTCCTAGGTGCTGCTTGAGCTGAGCATACAGACTGCACCTATTTGGCAGTCTGTGCGCTTTCGCTTGGTCATAGGTGAATATGAAGGACTTGAGAATAGAGTTTAGATATGTTTTGATGCCAAGCACTGCATATCCACCCTTGGAATCCATTGCAGACATGAAAAAAGGCTTGGTTTGAATCGGCAATATCCACGTTTACACCAAGAAAAAAGGACATCTGGCTGTGTCTCGAAATAGAAGACCTCCAAATTTCATGTTTATTCATGGTTAACAAAAATCTGAAGGTTTCCTAAGCCATGGGGGTACCCCCCAAAAAACATACATTCTTCTTGGAGATTTTCTATAAACCACCTACCTAACTAGCTACTGGGGATCCCCGCAGTCGGAAACCGGTCGCGCCCCCGTCAGGTGGGCCTCGTTTCTCGGTCGCAGCAAGTATAGCCACCTATGAGATTAGTATCAACATCTATCAACATCTATCAACATCCAGCAACATCTATCAACATCTATTTTATTAACATCTATTTTTCTTAACATCATCTATATCTTAGAGATAGAGATTCTATCAACATCTATCAACTATAGAGAGCAAGCTCCGGGAGATCCTGAAAAAACAACCGCGCAGCCAGCTGAGGCTTTGTGCCGTTGGGGCCCCCAGAGTTTCACCCGGCTTTCCACCCGACTATATTCGTTGAGTTTAACCATGGGTAGTTCCCATTAAAAAATCCAATCAACCTGTTGTTCCAGCACCTTTGAGGTACTAAGACCGTGACCATGGTGGATGTGGACGGCCATGGCGATGCCTGCGTTTCAGATGCTTTTAACCATTGGTTGTTTCAGATAGATATTTTTTTGCGCAACAGCGCGATTCCTGTTTCAAATCCATCGGGGTTTTATCGAAAGGATTATTTGTATTTATTTGTTTGGTACGTTTGTATTCAATGCTTCGTCATCCTCATGCACAATTTAAGTGATCTTAGGATGACTCGTAGTTCGGCTGTCAGTTTTGCAATGCGCTGGACGCGTCCAGCATTGCTCCAGTCCCGAAGCTAATGTCGCGAACTTTGTGGCTTTCGAAAAATTACGGCTTGGTGCACCCACCACAATTAACTCGTAGAAAATGAGGGGATGAGCAGTGGCGCCCAATCTGCCTTTTTCTATAAAATTGTTCTGATATGTTCTGATGGTTCCGTCTTCTGAATGGTTCTTGGGGCATCTAAAACCCCAACGAATCATAGAGATCTGGCGCAGTGGGCATCCCCAAGGAGTCAGAACAGCTTCCATGAATGTACAGCAGACCCCTTTATCTGTTGGTAAAATGGTATCCCCTGAAATGTCCCTTCAATCCATTTCCAAAGAAAGGGACACCTATTGACGCATCGGAAGCCCGAAAATTGCGATACACTTCAACGGACTCAGATCACCCTGAAGCTGAGGGATTTAACCCATGAATGTGGAAAAGTCGAAGAAAAACAACCCAATTCACCTCCGAAGAACGCTTCAGGGATGATATGTATCAGCCGGAGTTCCCCGGAATTCCCCATGCTGGCGCAGGCCTGAAAGCCCCGCCCAAGTCAAAGTCGGAAAAGGATCAACCCAGTGGTCGCTGGAAGAGAATTTCCCAGTAGGAATCTGGCATCTATGAGGACCAAGGTTGGAATTCAAGAGAAATAGTGAATGGTCCAACACTTTGCCTTTCTGAACTTCAAAACACACATGCACAGCGCTAAGTAGCTTGGAACATATGTCGAAATCTGTTGAGTTGCCCACTGCAGCCGTGAAATTTATTTATTGGCGGCGGCGAGCCCTGATCGAGCATGTGATGGCAGCCAGGACACAAACTGTAAGCCCAGTTGCCAATCTCCATTGTGATGTTGTGCCCTGCCCGGCACCCGCCACCCTCAAAGGACGAAGTTCTACATTTTGTACTGGGAAGGCAAAGATGAGGATGGCATCAACATGAACGGCTTGAAGCCATGCAGGACACCCCCCCAGAACTCATCAAACGGTCTTGATGCTTCTTCTCAGTGGCGTCTGATTGCAGTGAATGAAGAAGCCTGAAAGTATGAGAAGTAGAAGTATTGGTGTTGTCGCTTAGTCGCATAATTAACATTTCAAATTTGAAAATTTCAATATATTTCACAACTATCCGCATTTATGGGTTACTTTCCCTTTAAAGCATCATAAAGTCATAAAGCATTCATTTATGGGTGATTTCTGTTTTTTTCTTACCGTAGGTCGTTTTTCCCTGCTGCAAAAAAGGCAGTCATAGGTACACAGCCAGCACGTCATACGCCACTTTTAACGCGTACGGACCTTTTCATCTGTCATGCCATTCCCGGGCCATCCCCAATTCTACAATTCTTCAGGTGCTGGTTTAATAAAGCATCTTAAAATATGGGTGGTTTCTGGCTTCAATATAAACCATCTAAACATATATAAACATGTATAAACCATCAATCCATATGGTGTGGTTTATGAAATTGCCTTACTTTGATGGTTATGAAATACAGCACCCATATATCACCAACTGGATGGGTTGTGGCCAGGACTTGCAGCAAGATCACAAATCCTTACCTGTACCGCCTTGACAACATGCAGGCAAAAAAAACGGAGAGCTCCTGTTGTCAAAGCTTCGGGGAGGTGATTCTTTATGGTTAAAATTGTCAAAATCATATAAAATCGATGGAACATCCATATCTCAAGTGGATGTATATGGATATATGATGATATATTTGATGATATAATATGATAATTATAATTTATGTCCCATTTATATCCAAATTGGGGTCAATTTTGCGGCCAGGCCTGTCTCCGCTCTTGTGCTAAGGAGCTGGGAAATCTCCATGGCGGGATCCTAGGGCCTAGCGGAAGCGATGTGGAGCTACTTAGAGTTTCCCAAGCATCTAATAGATTGTAAGGTTTGATGATTGTCAATGACTGATCAAGAGTTAGTGATGATCCAGATAATTGACTTTTGGGGATAATTGGAGGATAGTCAATAATTGATCAATAGTCAATATAGATGTCAAGTGTCAATGATAATCAAGAACTGATTATCTCTCACGCAATCCTTTGCTTGTATTCAGTTGAAGCGAAATATTTGTTGTCCAGCTGATTTTTCTCTGCAGAGCCAGGAGGGTGAGCTCTTTCGTGAAGAAGTTGCTGAATTTTGGTGTGTGTCACCATGCGCCTTGATTGAGACAAACTGCGACGACTGGGAAGGGGGTGTTTTGACACCAGAGGTCTTGGTTGATGTCTAAAAAAATCCTGGTTCCAGTTTTGAAACAGAAATGACAGCCTTCGACTTGGAGTGCCCAAGGTCTAGGACCCTAGGACCTAGGATTCAGTCCGTCACCGTTTTCATGGCTGTTCCGCGGCCTTCAGGGAGCATTTTGTGCTACAACCTGCCGAAGTTTGGGGTGTACCTTTCGCAAAGGAGGACCAAGGCCTGGGGAACTCAGACTGCCAGGCTCCATAGACCCAGACACAGTCTACAGTGTCTACAGCCTGGGGCATGTTGTGCAGAATCTTTGCTCCGCGACCTGGTTCTAGGGTCGAAAGATGGGGCATAGGGAGAATAGAATTTTCCAAACTTTACCATCTGTCACAGAAAATCCCCATGCTGCTTGACAAGTGCAAACATGTCCCACCATGATGGTCCCTAGTTACTTTCATTGTCATCGTACCCCGTTTGTGCGCCCTGAAACTTCTCGAGCGGCCTTTCCCCATGAAGCGGCTTTTGGGCATGGGCGAGAAACAGATGACCATGGAGGATGCAGTGAAAGCAAAGAATGGCAATCAGCTGGCTGAAATGGTGCAGGAAAAGCTGGGAGACAAGGCTGAAGCCCTGAAGCTGTTGCAGGACACTTTGGCAGCACTGAGTGGGGAAGCTCCAGTTGTCCTTGAAGCTGATGCGCTTGTGGCGGGACCGGGACTGGGACAGGAAATCGCCAAGCTCTGGGTCTCCGGTGGTGCGCCCAAGGGGCGATTCGAGATCACAGTCACAGAGGAAGGGCTGCGGGCGCAGGGAGCCTCCAAGACCTTTCAGTTCCAATGGACAGATGTGCTCCATTTCTTGAAACTCCCGAAATGGGAGCACAGCCGAAAAGCCGGAGCCGCTGCGAAGTCCTACTGGCTAGTTCTGGTCCTGGAGCAAGCATTTTCGCTGGGAAAGCAGCAGCATCAATGCCTTGTCCTCAACGCCAATGGCGTCAAAGCTCCCGAGAAACGGCCCGTCTTGGCCGAAGGTCGCGACACTGCGCGGCAGCAACGCTGTGCCCAGGCCTTGGAGAACGAGCCAAGCACGGCCGAGGCGACTATCCTGTCCCGGCTTCTGGCCGCGTGCCTCGGCAGGAAAGCCCTCGAACCCGAGAGTTCGGCGTGTTCGGTGGAAGCTGTTCCTGCCTGGGCAGATTTAGATGAAGGTCACATTTATCCTCTGAGTGTCTTGGCTCTGTGCTGGGAAATCACTGGGAAGATGCTCTGATTGTGTCGGGTGAGAAACTACTGGATATACTGGAATATATATATATATTATATTTATATATATATAATATGAATATATACTGTATTTTATACATTCAAACCACCACTGTAAACCACTACGGTGTGTCTGAACATGTGGTATACCATGGTATAGACCCTGGGATGGGAGGACGAAAATATGTCCATGGTCAGCCCCCATGGCACATTCGAGGAAGTCGTGCACCCCAGATATGTTGTTTGTCAATGACCTCCAATATCTACTTGTGGTTCGATACATCTACTATAAACCCAGCAGTTAAACTTTAAACTAAACTATATATAGCCGTTGGAAATTCATCTAAAGAATCAGACAACTCGGGTTGTCAGTTTCTGCTTGATTCTTGAGTGATGTTTTGTTTCATTATGAATGGATTCATGTTCTCTATAAAGTTCACCTGGTCCTGATTCTTTAGAGAACCTTGCTTTGGAAGCACATTTGGCCATGTTGGAACCCCAAATTGAGTTCGTGTTTTTTTCAAGTGCTGGCCAAAACATGGTTCAAAAAGCGCAACAAAACCAACACTGGACATGATAAGAGGAGCAACTTTTTATATAGATTCATACAATAACTCCGTTTCTCGTTTTGCCGGGCATAGCAAAATACAGAGATTAAAATGTGGTAGGCAATTGTTTTGCTATGTCGAGGTGTGTTCCTGGTCCTGATTCTTTAGGCTTCATAAATTTTGGTGGCACCCGGCACCTGGTCCCATTTAGGCACTCTTCCATGTGCCTGCAGCTAAGGGTTCCTATTCTTTAGAGATCTTGCCTTGTCCCACAGGCCGTCCCACTAAAGAATCCAGACACCCGGGTCAGGGACCGAATTTAAAGGGGTATACTAAACTATATACTTATAAATCAGCTCACCTATCACGATTTTTGTTTTGTTGGTTAAACATTGTGTAGCCACGTTTTTTTGTGGTTGAATCCCAATTCATAAGTTAGCCAACTTAGCCAGTATTAATATTGTCATTATTTATATCAACGCTATGGTTGGTTAAATCCCATATCATACTAATATCATCTAAAATCATCTAATATCCATATCCCATTCCTATCATATCCCTACCTACTGTGGATGGTTGCGAAATCCTGCACCACCCCGATGGTTGATGGTTGAACCCCCAACAAAGTCATGGGTTGTTTACCATCTATCAACTGGTGCAGGATTTCTATGGATTTCGCAACCATCCCTACCTATGGTTGGTTTTTGATCCGCAGGTGTAGGGCTTTGCTTCCTGCCCAAGCCTGCGATCTTCGTCCCGGGCGAAGACATGTTGCAAGCCGAAGCCGGTCCCCGTCGTGGTCCCAGAGGGGGCGATCTCATCCTCCACCGGGTGCAGAGTAAACAGGTGAAGTTTCAACAAATTTCTGCCGGCGATATGAATCTGGGGAGATCAAAAATCGAGATTTTATGAGATTTTATGTATGTTTATGTGTTTTTTTTAAGCTGTAAGGCTCCTGTAAGGCTTTTTGCACCTGAAAAGTTACGGGAACACCCCCAAAATTTAATCCAATTGTTTCGAAGCCAGAAGGTCAAGCCATTTGCGGTATTTTCACACCATTTTCAGACACATCCATTTTGTGTCTATATTTGATGTTCAACATTGTTCAACTATATGAGGGTATGGCTCAACATGATTGTGGACCTATGACTCATTTTGTGGGTTCTTTGCAACCCAACTTGTGCGCTTTTTTCAGCGCTGATTTCTTGGGGTTTTCTGGTTGAAATGGTCAGGAATGCACTGCTGAGCTACATTTCAGCTTTGGCCTCCCAGTACCACCCATCAGAAGCTCGAGCAGATGATCAAAACTTGGAAGACGATGAAGATGATTCCGACTTTGAGGACGAGGTCGTGGGAACAACCAATCCGCCGGCCAAACGCCGTGCCGTGACACGCAGCCAGACCTCGGGGAAAGCCGCTGGAGTGACGCCGGTCTTGGTGCAAGATCTGCCGGCTCCTTCACGCGGCAAGGCCGAGAAAGAAGAGGACAGCGATGCTGACGACCTCGGGGAAGGGGAAGAGTCAGACATCGAAGACGTCGAATGATGCAGCGCATCAAGTCATTTTGGATGCTCTCAGAGCATGTGTTGCAGAGCGGAAAAAGAGAGCCAGCCTTTCTTGGAGAGCCAGGTACTTCAAAATACTTCAAAGTTGATGTGGCTGGAGATGACTTGCGTAAACAGCAGAGGAAGACATTTGACAGACTCTGACAGACTTTCTTGAGCACTTTTTATTCAGACTTTTTTAAGGCGTAGTATATAGTAAGTTCAAAATACACATGCAAGTCTGCTGGATTGTTTCAAGATGTTTCAAGCAGCCTTTCACTTTTTCATCGGAGGCCCTGACAGAAGCGACAGTGATTGGCACAGCACTGGCCATGCACGGCAGGGCACTGAGCAGGGCTGGGCGGTTTGCGGTGCAGCTAATGAAACCATAGCAATGCGAAAAAAACACAGCCAGATGCCTACAGCAACCCCCGCAAAGATAGAAAAGTTCAATCCCACCAAAAAAATGGTCAATTCCTTTTGTATCTGTTTGGGGGTCACCCTGTATAATATAAAACACGTAAACAACACATGTAAATTCTTAAATTGATATTGTACATTCATTCGATGCCTTCTATATAGTGTGTATATATATATATACGTATGATATATATATATACATATTAATATATCATATTATATATATATATACGATATATCATATATATATACATATCATATTATCTATTTAATTTGGGGATCAGTGCAGGGTAAATGATACATCAACCCAAGATTACAATGGTTTTGGGCACCCCTTTGTTTTCCATCGAAAAAGATACGTTCCCCCTTCGTTTATTGGAGAGATCATCCCTCGAACATGACCATTCTGTTCGCACATCGAAAAACCCCATTGATGGCCAGGTTCCTCCCCAAATTGGCCAAAAGAAGTTGTGTTGCCAAATTGTGTCGGAGGAGCCAAAGAGAAGGCAGAGTCTGGTGCAGGGATCCTCAGATTTTCAGACTTTTGGCTGGAGATGATGGGTAAGAACAAATGATGAAACACGGCTTTTTCAATCGCCTGCAGTCCCAAGTGAAATATGTTTAACATCTCATGTACGTTTATTTTTATATATGATATGATATGATATGATATGATATGATATTATTCTATTTATTTATGTTTGTTTCCATCTCTCAAAATGGGATGACCCCAAGTTCGCTTGATATTTGTGGGTCGTGGCATCCAGGTGACAGTCGATGCACTGGGTTCCAAAGGACTGGGGGCAGAGTCAGATAGCTCTGGCAGCGTTGATTCAACGGGAGTTCACCAAGAGAAAGGGGATGTACCCTCTGGTTATTTAACATAGCCATGGAAAATGGCCCATTTATAGATGAATTTCCCATTAAAACCTCCATTTACAAGGGATTGTCCATGGCTATGTTAGTCATAACCAGATGGTAGGTGGAACTTGGGATGCAAACAGGAACATCATGCCTTGAACATCGAAGAGTTTATAATTATAGCCTCTGCCATCCGATCTTCAGGACCCTGTGACACCTGGCAGAGCTGGCTGTGGTGGAGGGTCATGGAGATGAAGATGCAAGCACAACAGCAACACAAAAAGTACGAGACTCAGACTGTATTTGAGCTGCCACGGTGAGCATCTTCAAGACCTTTGGTAGCCATGGGATCCCATGGGTGCATCCAGATTTGATGGTTGATTATCATGGCAACCAGGTTTTTCCCTTCGACAATTGCCACAAAAATATGGGGTAATCATCAATGGAATCCCCCATTTTGGATGCTCAAATCCCCCATTTTGTGTTCCTAGAAACCCACCACTTTAAAGTGACAAATCCAAGATATGTCATATATCCCCTTAAAGAAATCCCGTATGATTCTGATCCATATATCATGGCTCGATATCCCCCATCCATCCCGTTCAACAGCATTAGACCTCATCTCAGGTGTGTTGTGGTGCATTTGGACGGCCCCTTGGCATAGAAATGGTGATAGTATACTCATAAACTAACGAACATAAAGGGTAACAGCAATGCTGATGATAATAGTAACATGCATAATGCATATCATGTCATAAGAGTAGAAATGGTGATGGTGGCGATGGTGGCGATGGTGGCGATGATGATGGCGATGATGATGATGATGATGATGATGATGATGACGAGGACGACGAGGACGATGACGATGACGATGACGATGACGATGATGATGATGATGACGACGACGACGACGACGATGATGATGAACAACTTTGTAATGAGGCTAAGACTAAGATTTTCTGCTGAGTTCATGGCCGATTTTCCCTTCATTTTGAGGCGCTGGCGTGGAGTTGATGAACATGCCAATCTCACCTGGAGAAGCTGCTGCCGAGGACAGGCGTAGCTTGCGTAGGCCTTGGCGTCTCGTTTTACTAGCCTGATCCAAGTTAATCCTTAATGATTACCCGGTTTACGGATTAGCGGTTTACGGATTAGCCCGCGGACCGGGGCACAGGTTCCACATTAAGTATTTAAAATTAAAGGTTTTGGGGCCTTCTTTCTTTCAAACAGCATTTACCTTTCGGCCTCAGCAAATCCAAACCCCCCGGAAGCCGAAATCAGGCCGAAAGTGATGAAAAGGGGTTTGGCGGTGGACCTGCCAGAGCAAACCCCTTTTAAGCAGAAATCAGGCCGAAAGTGCTTAAAAGGGGTTTGGCGGTGGACCTGCCAGAGCAAACCCCTTTTAAGCAGAAATCAGGCCGAAAGTGCTTAAAAGGGTTTGGCGGTGGACTTGCCAGAGCAAACCCCTTTTAAGCAGAAATCAGGCCGAAAGTGCTTAAAAGGGCTTTGGCGGTGGACTTGCCAGAGCAAACCTCTTTTAAGCAGAAATCAGGCCGAAAGTGCTTAAAAGGGGTTTGGCGGTGGACTTGCCAGAGCAAACCCCTTTTAAGCAAAAATCAGGCCGAAAGTGCTTAAAAGGGCTTTGGCGGTGGACTTGGCAGAGCAAACCCCTTTTAAGCAGAAATCAGGCCGAAAGTGCTTAAAAGGGGTTTTGCGGTGGACTTGCCAGAGCAAACCCCTTTTAAGCAGAAATCAGGCCGAAAGTGCTTAAAAGGGCTTTGGCGGTGGACTTGCCAGAGCAAACCCCTTTAAGCAGAATCAGTCCGAAGTGCTTAAAAGGGCTTTTGGCGGTGGACTTGCCAGAGCAAACCCCTTTTAAGCAGAAATCAGGCCGAAAGTGCTTAAAAGGGCTTTGGCGGTGGACTTGCAGAGCAAACCCCTTTTAAGCAGAAATCAGGCCGAAAGCGCTTAAAAGGGATTTGGTGGTGGACTTGCCAGAGCAAACCCCTTTTAAGCAGAAATCAGGCCGAAAGTGCTTAAAAGGGGTTTGGCGGTGGACTTGCCAGAGCAAACCCCTTTTAAGCAAAAATCAGGCCGAAAGCGCTTAAAAGGGGTTTGGCGGTGGACTTGCCAGAGCAAACCCCTTTTAAGCAGAAAGCAGGCCGAAAGTGCTTAAAAGGGCTTTGGCGGTGGACTTGCCAGAGCAAACCCCTTTTAAGCAGAAATCAGACCGAACGTGCTTAAAAGGGCTTTGGCGGTGGACTTGCCAGAGCAAACCCCTTTTAAGCAGAAATCAGGCCGAAAGTGCTTAAAAGGGCTTTTGGCGGTGGACTTGCCAGAGCAAAGCCCCTTTTAAGCAGAAATCAGGCCGAAAGTGCTTAAAAGGGCTTTGGCGGTGGACTTGCCAGAGCAAAGCGCTTTTTAGCAGAAATCAGGCCGAAAGTGTTTAAAAGGGCTTTGGTGGTGGACTTGCCAGAGCAAAGCCCTTTTTAGCAGAAATCAGGCCGAAAGTGCTTAAAAGGGCTTTGGCGGTGGACTTGCCAGAGCAAAGCGCTTTTAAGCAGAAATCAGGCCGAAAGTGCTTAAAAGGGCTTTGGCGGTGGACTTGCCAGAGCAAACCCCTTTTAAGCAGAAATCAGGCCAAAAGTGCTTAAAAGGGCTTTGGCGGTGGACTTGCCAGAGCAAAGCCCTTTTAAGCAGAAATCAGGCCGAAAGTGCTTAAAAGGGGTTTGGCGGTGGACTTGCCAGAGCAAAGCCCTTTTTAGCAGAAATCAGGCCGAAGGCTTAAAAGGGGTTTGGCGGTGGACCGCCCGAGCAAACCCATTTTAAGCGATAAATCATGCCGAAGTGCTTTACAAGGGCTTTGGCGGTGGACTTGCCAGAGCAAAGCCCTTTTTAGCAGAAATCAGGCCGAAAGTGCTTAAAAGGGCTTTGGCGGTGGACTTGCCAGAGCAAACCCTTTTAAGCAGAAATCAGCCCGAAAGTGCTTAAAAGGGCTTTGGCGGTGGACTTGCCAGAGCAAAGCCCTTTTTAGCAGAAATCAGGCCGAAAGTGCTTCAAAGGGCTTTGGCGGTGGACTTGCCAGAGCAAAGCCCTTTTTAGCAGAAATCGGGCCGAAAGTGCTTAAAAGGGCTTTGGCGGTGGACTTGCCAGAGCAACCCCTGGGCGGTGGACTTGCCAGAGCCAACCCCTTTTAAGAAATCAGGCCGAAAGTGCTTAAAAGGGCTTTGGCGGTGGACTTGCCAGAGCAAAGCCCTTTTAAGCAGAAATCAGGCCGAAAGTGCTTAAAAGGGCTTTGGCGTTGGACTTGCCAGAGCAAAGCCCTTTTAAGCAGAAATCAGGCCGAAAGTGCTTAAAAGGGCTTTGGCGGTGGACTTGCCAGAGCAAAGCCCTTTTAAGCAGAAATCAGGCCGAAGGCCGAAAGTGATTAAAAGGGCTTTGGCGGTGGACTTGCCAGAGAAAATTCTTTTTAGCAGAAATCAGGCCGAAAGTGCTTAAAAGGGCTTTGCCGGTGGACTTGCCAGAGCAAAGCCCTTTTAAGCAGAAATCAGGCCGAAAGTGCTTAAAAGGGCTTTGGCGGTGAACTTGCCAGAGCAAACCCCTTTTCAGCAGAAATCAGGCCGAAAGTGCTTAAACGGGCTTTGGCGGTGGACTTGCCAGAGCAAAGCCCTTTTCAGCAGAAATCAGGCCGAAAGTGCTTAAAAGGGCTTTGGCGGTGGACTTGCCAGAGCAAAGCCCTTTTCTTGTCCAGAGCAAACCCCTTTTAGCAGAATCAGGCCTAAAGTGGTTTCAGAAAGGCTTTGGCGGTGGACTTGCCAGAGCAAACCCCTTTTAAGCAGAAATCAGGCCGAAAGTGCTTAAAAGGGGTTTGGCGGTGGACGTGCCAGAGCAAACCCCTTTTAAGCAGAAAGCATGCCGAAAGTGCTTAAAAGGGTTTTAGCGGTGGACTTGCCAGAGCAAACCCCTTTTAAGCAGAAATCAGGCCGAAAGTGCTTAAAAGGGGTTTGGCGGTGGACTTGCCAGAGCAAACCCCTTTTAAGCAGAAATCAGGCCTAAAGTGCTTAAAAGGGGTTTGGTGGTGGACTTGCCAGAGCAAACCCCTTTTAATCAGAATTCAGGCCGAAAGTGCCTAAAACGGGTTTGGCGGTGGACTTGCCAGAGCAAACCCCTTTTAAGCAGAAAGCAGGCCGAAAGTGCTTAAAAGGGGTTTGGCGGTGGACTTGCCAGAGCAAACCCCTTTTAAGCAGAAAGCAGGCCGAAAGTGCTTAAAAGGGTTTTAGCGGTGGACTTGCCAGAGCAAACCCCTTTTAAGCAGAAATCAGGCCGAAAGTGCTTAAAAGGGCTTTGGCGGTGGACTTGCCAGAGCAAACCCCTTTTAAGCAGAAATCAGGCCGAAAGTGCTTAAACGGGGTTTGGCGGTGGACTTGCCAGAGCAAACCCCTTTTAAGCAGAAATCAGGCCGAAAGCGCTTAAAAGGGGTTTGGCGGTGGACTTGCCAGAGCAAACCCCTTTTAAGCAGAAATCAGGCCGAAAGTGCTTAAAAGGGCTTTGGCGGTGGACTTGCCAGAGCAAACCCCTTTTAAGCAGAAATCAGGCCGAAAGTGCTTAAAGGGCTTTGGCGGTGGACTTGCCAGAGCAAACCCCTTTTAAGCAGAAATCAGGCCGAAAGTGCTTAAAAGGGGTTTGGCGGTGGACTTGCCAGAGCAAACCCCTTTTAAGCAGAAATCAGGCCGAAAGTGCTTAAAAGGGGTTTGGCGGTGGACTTGCCAGAGCAAACCCCTTTTAAGCAGAAATCAGGCCGAAAGTGCTTAAAAGGGCTTTGGCGGTGGACTTGCCAGAGCAAACCCCTTTTAAGCAGAAATCAGGCCGAAAGTGCTTAAAAGGGCTTTGGCGGTGGACTTGCCAGAGCAAGCCCCTTTTAAGCAGAAATCAGGCCGAAAGTGCTTAAAAGGGGTTTGGCGGTGGACGTGCCAGAGCAAACCCCTTTTAAGCAGAAATCAGGCCGAAAGTGCTTAAAAGGGGTTTGGCGGTGGACTTGCCAGAGAAAACCCCTTTTAAGCAGAAATCAGGCCGAAAGTGCTTAAAAGGGCTTTGGCGGCGGACTTGCCAGAGCAAAACCCTTTTAAGCAGAAATCAGGCCGAAAGTGCTTAAAAGGGCTTTGGCGGTGGACTTGCCAGGGCTTTGGCGGTGGACTTGCCAGAGCAAACCCCTTTTAAGCAGAAATCAGGCCGAAAGTGCTTAAAAGGGGTTTGGCGGTGGACGTGCCAGAGCAAACCCCTTTTAAGCAGAAAGCATGCCGAAAGTGATTAAACGGGTTTTAGCGGGGACTTGCAAGAGCAAAGCCCCTTTAAGCAGAAATCAGGCCGAAAGTGCTTAAAAGGGCTTTGGCACTGGACTTGCCAGAGCAAAGCCCTTTTAAGCAGAAATCAGGCCGAAAGTGCTGAAAAGGGCTTTGGCGGTGGACTTGCCAGAGCAAAGCCCTTTTAAGCAGAAATCAGGCCGAAAGTGCTTAAAAGGGCTTTGGCGGTGGACTTGCCAGAGCAAACCCCTTTTAAGCAGAAATCAGGCCGAAAGTGCTTAAACGGGCTTTGGCGGTGGACTTGCCAGAGCAAACCCCTTTTCAGCAGAAATCAGGCCGAAAGTGATTAAAAGGGCTTTGGCGGTGGACTTGCCAGAGCAAAGCCCTTTTTAGCAGAAATCAGGCCGAAAGTGCTTAAAAGGGCTTTGGCGCTGGACTTGCCAGAGCAAAGCCCTTTTATGCCACCGCCAAAGGCCTTTTAAGCAGAAATCAGGCCGAAAGTGCTTAAAAGGGCTTTGGCGGTGGACTTGCCAGAGCAAAGCCCTTTTAAGCAGAAATCAGGCCGAAAGTGCTTAAAAGGGCTTTGGCGGTGGACTTGCCAGAGCAAACCCCTTTTAAGCAGAAATCAGGCCGAAAGTGCTTAAAAGGGGTTTGGCGGTGGACCTGCCAGAGCAAACCCCTTTTAAGCAGAAATCAGGCCGAAAGTGCTTAAAAGGGGTTTGGCGGTGGACTTGCCAGAGCAAACCCCTTTTAAGCAGAAATCAGGCCGAAAGTGCTTAAAAGGGGTTTTGGCGGTTGGACTTGCCAGAGCAAACCCCTTTTAAGCAGAAATCAGGCCGAAAGTGCTTAAAAGGGCTTTGGCGGTGGACTTGCCAGAGCAAACCCCTTTTAAGCAGAAATCAGGCCGAAAGTGCTTAAAAGGGGTTTGGCGGTGGACTTGCCAGAGCAAACCCCTTTTAAGCAGAAATCAGGCCGAAAGTGCTTAAAAGGGCTTTGGCGGTGGACTTGCCAGAGCAAACCCCTTTTAAGCAGAAATCAGGCCGAAAGTGCTTAAAAGGGCTTTGGCGGTGGACTTGCCAGAGCAAATGGTGCATTTGTACTCTACGGGACCAATGGATTTTCCGATGCAGCCTTTGCAGTTCCAACGACTCAAATTGTTGATTCATTCTGGCACGGTATGAAATTGAATAGAAGTGTGGCAGTTTATACATACATGAATACATATCACCAAACGTATAGCTATGGTTTATCTGAGACAACACCAGTGTTCTTGCGGGACACGTGTACATTTGACCATGAGGGAGATTTGGAAAAGCAAGATTTTCGAATTGGACAAGTTACAAGCGTAAGTGTTTTACTGTGTGTGTCCATTACTGTGTAGTCGGATTGTCTAGTTACGGAAAACAACGTGCAGCCAGTGTTATGATTGTTTGCTCTGGATTGAAGATCTGGGCTTGCATGATTGCAGTGGTGTCAAAGCAGCTTTGGCTCAACCTTGTCCAGCGCCAAACCCCGCCGAACTGGACCGAAGATGGGCGGTTTGAATGCCTTTCAGTGGATGCTGAAAGAGCGAAAAGTGGGGCCGAAAGAAGGTGCTGCACTTTGGAAAGCCATGGATGACCAAGTGCCTGGGCGCGCAATCTGCTCCACTCACTTTAGCAGAATCCATTTTTCTTCTTTTTTTTTGCAGCTAGTGATGTGGACAGATTTGTGATGCGGAATTTCACAAAGTTTCTCAAACTATCCGTCACATTACATGTCAGATCGAAAGAACTTTTTTTTGGTTCTGTCTGCATTACAGACTTTACATGTCAGATCCTTCACCTTGCACGAAGTATTTCCGAGAAGAGGGTTTGACTCGCAAATGTGAGAAGGGAATTGTGCAATTTGGTTTGCAAGGCCAAGGGTGAGTACAAAGAGAAGGCAAAAGCAGAGAGAGAGAGAAGAACAAACCCCTCTCCCAGGCTCTCCGTTTTGCAGCCGAAGAGTCCGAGCACAAGTCATTTATCTGACTTGGGCCTAAAACGTGAGACAGCCATCATATAGTTTACCGACCTGACACTCGCGGCCGCCATTGCCGTAACCTCCGTATATTTCAACTATTTCCTTTTTCATCAAACAACAAGCAGGTTTTCAGACCATAGTTATCATTCTTGACGAGCTATTGCGCACGGCTTCCTGAGCGACTCTAGCTTTGACATTGCATTCCCACCAATATTCCAGATATCCATGCCGCTCACCCTTTGCAACTCATAATCCGAGGTCAACATGGTACTTTTTCACGGTTCGTTTTTCAAGCTACCGGGCCGCAGGCCTCAGACGCAAAGACACAGTGGATCGACGAGTTTTCCACCGAAGTTTCTGTGCAGTTCCCACAAGTGCCTTGTATGGCGGTTGGCTTGGCCTTCTGAACCATTGAATCATGGTCAATTTTGAATGGACAAGTGAGGCGGTAGACTAGACATCGGAACCGGCTGAAATTACCCTCTGAGAAAATTGTAGGAGATATTTTACACTGAATTTCATCCAGATCTTTTTTGACTCCTCTGTCCTAGCAGCTTGGCCCTTCAGTGGTCAACAAGATATCGATCCAGTGCGCCATTGAAAGATGGTCAGTGTTTGTCAACGGTAATGTAAACCAAATGTAGGAGAGAGACTATATACACTGAAATTAATTTCTGGTTTTTTGTTTATCCGCCCACTTCTTCGTTGCAGCAAACTGGCTCTTGTGTGGTCAACAAGATGTCGGTCGGGTGGACCACTGAAAGACTGTTAATTTTTTTCAGGAGCGGCGATAAATCTTGCAAAGATCACGGAATGGAAATCAAGCGATACCAGTAGTACCGCGCATGGCGGAGGCGGAAGTTTCAAAAATAGGAAACCTATAGGAGAGGTTGGTTGTTGTGAATCAGGGTTGGCAGAGCGAAGCCACTGATGGAGCGAAAGGTGATTGATCTCTCTAACTATTTCTCTCTGTTTCTCTGACTATCTACCTACCTACCTACCTACCTATCTATCTATCTATCTATCTACCTATCTATCTATCTATCTATCTATCTATCTATCTATCGGCCTGATTTCTGCTTAAAAGGGGTTTGCTCTGGCAAGTCCACCGCCAGAGCCCTTTTAAGCACTTTCGGCCTGATTTCTGCTTAAAAAGGGTTTGCTCTGGCAAGAAAAGGGGTTTGCTCTGGCAAGTCCACCGCCAAAGCCCTTTTAAGCACTTTCGGCCTGATTTCTGCTTAAAAGGGGTTTGCTCTGGCAAGTCCACCGCCAGAGCCCTTTTAAGCACTTTCGGCCTGATTTCTGCTTAAAAGGGGGTTTGCTCTGGCAAGTCCAACGCCAAACCCCTTTTAAGCACTTTCGGCCTGATTTCTGCTTAAAAGGGGTTTGCTCTGGCAAGTCCACCGCCAAAGCCCTTTTAAGCACTTTCGGCCTGATTTCTGCTTAAAAGGGGTTTGCTCTGGCAAGTCCACCGCCAAAGCCCTTTGAAGCACTTTCGGCCTGATTTCTGCTTAAAAGAGGTTTGCTCTGGCAACTCCACCGCCAAACCCCTTTGAAGCACTTTCGGCCTGATTTCTGCTTAAAAGGGGTTTGCTCTGGCAAGTCCACCGCCAAACCCCTTTTGAGCACTTTCGGCCTGATTTCTGCTTAAAAGGGGTTTGCTCTGGCAAGTCCACCGCCAAACCCCTTTTAAGCACTTTTGGCCTGATTTCTGCTTAAAAGGGGTTTGCTCTAACAAATCCACCGCCAAACCCGGCCGAAGCACTTTCGCCGTGATTTCTGGTTCCCAGATTGGAAACGTCACCGTCCTATCTATGCTTTAAACCGGATTACGGATTAGGTCTCGGATTACGGATTCGACTCTTTGGGGCTTCTGAGACGGATTCCGGGATTACGGATTAAGGTAAGGCTCGCGAGCATTTGGTACAGCTGAGTTTTAGCCTACACCAGCGGACCGCATAGGCTTTGTGTAGACACTCGTTGGCAGCAGTTAGAACTTATTCATTTTCCATTGGTCAATTGGTTCGTGGTTCCAAAACCTCATGCCGCAATCGAAAGCAAAACTAAACCATAGCCGCTAGTCGGCTTTGCACACCGCTAGTCGGGTGCAGGGCCGATCGAAAAGGCTTTTCTCTGTTCCTCGGCCAGGACATCCATTCTGTCATCATGGTAGTGGGAGGTCCCGATGGCATCAAAAAACCCATCATGAACGATCTCAGTGAGATCCTGTTGACGCCTCAGAGGCTCATCAGCATGAAACAACGGGGAAATTTCTTGTGGATTTATGGATGATTTATGTGGATGTACCATAATCATGTTCTCCATGAATTTAGATGACTTTCATATTGATTTCTTAGCTTCATCCAGACTTTCAACAATTTCAGGGAATTTGCAGGAAACCTCTATATTTGATGGTAAAGAACTATGGTTTCAACATGTTTCAACATGTTTCAACCGGACTTTTTCCTTTCAACCAGCCTGAAGATTTTTTGGTGTCCAGAGCATATCCCCACAAAAAACATAATTTTCGTTGGTTAATACCCCCATTGTTGCTGGTTCAGTCATCTTAAATCCCCATGATAGATGGTGAGACTGGAACTTGACTGAGGTCCAAGACTGCTCATGCCTATTTGAAGATCAGGCTGCCAGGTGGACGTCAACATACCCACGTCGTGGCTTGAAAAACGATTTTCGTGTCGAAATCCATGGGTTTCCCAAAGGACAACGAGCTACCAGTGGTTGGGTTTTCCATATCATTCCATATCTATGTGGACTTACTGCAGGGTAATTAACAATTTATTCCCCAATTTATTGTTAATGCCCATTTTCTGGCACTGGGGATTGGTCAACTCCAGTTGACCATCCCCAATGGGGCACCAACTACAAGGATTCGACCTATCCATATTGTACATCATGCAGCCGGAAATCCATAGAGTCTCACCAGCAATCGCGCGTATATATATATATATATATATATGTTGTAATTATCCAATGTGAACCTAATCCATCCATAAAGGGGTCACTGCAGTCTCTCACCATAGGTCATGCACAGACCATCGACATGCCCTTGGTTCAAGGCACCAGCTTCAGGGAAGCTAGGTTTGAGGGCGGGAGGGATCACTGCCTTGGAGCCATAACCTTTCGTAGGTGACGGGGTTCACCCAATAGCTGCATTGAGCGTGGCCGCTCATACCCAGTTTTCTACATAAGACGGCAGTGGACCATCCCTTTTGCCCAACCTTGTGCGGTGATCGCTACCGGGATCCAACTTGTGGTGGTCGTGACAAAAGGCGCGGAGGCGCTGCTGCTTGGAGGTTGCTTGGATCAGCTGGAGCACTACCAATTACATTGGTAGCGGAGCTGCCACAGTGCAGCATCCGGGGCCATGTCTGAAGCATCGTCAGGAGATGCCTCAACAACTGGAGGTGGCGTGAGCAACCAATTAGCCAGTTTGGTGCCGACGTTTGATCCATCAAAGGACGACATGACCATGTATCAACAACGAGTTGAACTAGTGCTAGCTGCCTGGCCGAAAAATCGCATCCAGGAGCTCATTACGAGATTGATTCTCAACTGTCAAGGAAGTGCTTTTCAAAAGTTACAGCTTAACCACCATGAGCTGTCCTCAGGCGATGAGAAGGCCGTGAAGAAGTTGATTGAGCTTCTTGGAGGCTCATGGGGACGAATCGCATTGCAGAAGCAGTACGAAGAAGCGGAACAAGCCTTGTTCCACTGCAGTCAGAGGTCTGACGAAACCAATGACAGTTTTTTGGCACGTGCTGACATTTTGTGGAGCCGTTTGATGTCAAGAAAGCTGAGTTGGGAAGATCTGCAAGCGTTTGTGCTGTTGCGTGGCAGTACATTGTCCCCAGAGGAGAAGAAAAAGGTCATTCTCGATGCTGATAGTTCATCTACTGGGAAGCTGACGGTGTCTCGAGTCTCAGACGCCATTAGACTGTTAGGTGCTTCATTCTTCGGTGACATGACGGGTCAAAAACGATCTGCAAAACTGAAGGTTTATGACAACAATACAGTACTGGTAGCTGAAGATGATGAGTCAACAGAAAACCCAGTCCTTGCAACGGATGAGATCGGCGAAGACGAGCTGATTGAGCAGCTCTTACAAGAAGGAGATCCAGATGCAGCCCTTGTCATAGACTATGAGGCCACAGCCCAAGAGGTTCTGCAAGAGGACAATGATCTTGCAAGTGCCTTTTCAGCCTACCAAGAAGCCCGACAGCGCTTGGCAGAGAAACAGCGTCACCGTGGTTTCTGGCCTCCCAGCAGGCCGATGGGGTCATCTTCCTTCTCAACATGGTCGAAAGGCAAAGGTCGTTCGTCTCAGCAGTCTTTTGGAAAAGGGAAAGGCAGTTTTGTGAGACCAAAACGGTCACTCCAAGATCGTATCATGTCGTCAACGTGCAGAAATTGTGGCCGCAAAGGCCATTGGAAAGCCGAATGTCCGCACCGGTCTGAGAATCAGACGAGTAGTGCCGCATCCATGACAACAACCGCAGCCGCCACCACAAGTGTCACGATGCAATCCGATGAGGGTCTGGCCTTAGAGTTCCTGCAATTGCCTGAGTGTAGCCAGACCGCTCTTGACCAGGAGACCGGGCTAACCCGGGAAGCAGCCGTTTTTGTTGGTGCAGGGGTAATCCACCAAGGGGATGATAAGGCTAGGGGGATTTTGAGTAAATCTAGGGCCTTAGGAATCTCATGCATGTGGAACAGACTGCTCGCCAACGCCTCCAGAAGTGGGGTTTCAGGAGTGAAAACATCACACCCGTCGCTGAGATCCGGGATCACCTGAAGCGTCGCCGTGAGAGAAGTCAACACTCCGTTGTCCAGCCGTCCAAGAATTTAGGAAAAGACCAACCTGCCAAAAGTGAAAGTCTCCATGGTAAGATAAGTCATGATTCCACTGCAGTGTCTTACTTTGCAACGCACAGCTCATATGGCATCCTGGACTTAGGAGCTTCCAAGACCGTAATTGGCACAGCCCAGCTTGCAAGTTTGATCAATGACCTTGAGCCCCAAGTGCGGGCCAAGCTGCAGAGGTGTCCCTGCAACATCACATTCAGGTTTGGAAATGAAGGTACCTTGACGTCTAAGCAGGCACTGGTAGTTCCCATTGGCAACAGACTTCTGAAAATTGCCATTGTCGAAGGAGGCACACCTTTTCTTTTGTCCAATGCACTCATGCGAGCGCTTGAAGCAAAGATTGACTGCCAGGCACGAAAGCTGATTAGCCCTATGCTAACAGAACCAGTTGACCTTCAACTTACGTCCAAGGGTTTGTTTCTGCTTGATTTAAATGATCTAGTCCGGCAGTCATGCAAGACCAGCGCACAGAAGCCAGTGACCGAGACCTTCGTTTCCGAAGAAGTGAAATCACATGCTTTGCAGGGGACCATGGAACATGTCAGAAATGTGAAGGAATTTCAAAACCCCGATGAAGAAGTTGTCAAGACACCTGCACACATCACACCATCACATACATGCCCAAGTAACAGCCAACATAACATGACCATGACTCAGGACTCCATGAACATGCCATGCACGAAGCTGACCATGCCTCACCATCATCAGAAATCACATCCAAAACAGGTGCAGTTTCAGAGTGATCAGAGCCATCCACCCAGATCTCAAGATACGAGTGAGCCCACGACTTCGTGCAGTCAAATCCTGAGCGCCGAGCCTCATGTCCGACCTGACCGCCCGTCTGAAGGCAGTGCAAGCAGTGCAGGAGCAAGAGGTGAAGAACGACCTCGAGTACCTGACCTTGGCGGATCTGGAGAACGAAGTGGTTTCTTTTGGAGAAGCTCACCTGGGTCAAACATACACCCAGGCATGGAGCGACCAAGAGTGGGTGAAGTTTATGACCGCTCGCTACCAAAAGAGCACGAAGGAATCCCACATGAAGTTCCTCCGATTCGTGGAGTTGAAGATCGAGATGATGGAGGCCGAGATGAACCAACGCCCAATGAAGCCAAAGACTCAAGGCCATGTGGTCTCAAAGGCCAAATGCCGCCCAGCCGCCAAAGCAGCCACAACATACACGGTGGTATCACATGGAGAGCCCATCGACATCTCTTCGCAGGCTGGGGAGGACGATGGGGTCTACGAGACCGAGATGTCCTAGACATGGACTATGAATGGCCCGACGGAGCAGCAGGAGACCATTCATGCTCTCCAAGCGAGGATGCTCAACATGGAGGATGCACTGCAACGAGTGATTCACCACCTCGAGAATGTCCAGCCCAAGAACAACTGAGTGATGAAGAAGGGATAGCTGATTTAATTGCCACAAGTGTCCATGAAGAAACTCAGTTCCTTCACAAGTTAATAGAACAGTTCACTTTAGAAATGAATGATACCAAAAGAGACACTCGTTCCATTGGCCCCAGATGGACACTTGGCGAGATTTTCAGCAGTGAACACTCTCCACTGACGCATCAGGTCAATCAGATGAATGCACGTGCGTTCCGATTTGGATATCAGCAAGGTGACTTGGAAACAACACAAGGCAGGAGAAGTTTGTTTCAGATGGTGTATTCTCCCACGTGCGGGCCCTGGTCGTCATGGACACACTTGAATGCATCCAGGTCTCTGTTCCATGAAGATTTGTATCATCAGAAACGACACGATCTCATGTATCAAGTTGCTCTTGGCATAGTGCTGTTTAGACACCAGATGTCGAATGGTGATCATTTTCATTGGGAACAACCTGGTCGCAGTCTCATGTTCCAGCTGTCGCAGATGTCAGAGGTCCACCGATACACCCAAGCATGCGAGCTAGACCTATGCCAAGCTGGCAACATGAGGGATCCCCAAAATGATAAACACATCAAGAAGAGCTTGGTAATCCTTACCACCAGTCGCGCTATGTATCAGAGATTTCATGGCCTGAAATGTCAGCATGATCATGAGCACCAAGTCCTGGAAGGGTCCACATGTGTCACCGGAAAAAAGGTCTTGCGCACCCAATACTCTGAGATATACCCAAGAAAATTTGCCCGTGCTGTAGCCCATGTCATGGTAAAGCATCCCAAAGAATGGCCAGTGAAATGGCAGCCTGGTATGTTAGCCTTGCATGATGCTGAGCCAAGTTTTGTTCTGGGTGCGGCTCGAAGGATTACCAAATCCAAATTCGAAAGGTCAGAAGTGATCTACCCTGAGTCTCGAGCGTCACCCGATGCCAAGCGACGCAAACTGACAGGTAAGCAGAGTGAGCTTCCCAGTTTAGAGATGTTCCAACAGGTAATCCAGACAATCACCCAAAGAGTTCCGAGAGTCGGAAAAATCGAAATCACCGATCATGAACTTTTGACCGAGTTGCAGAACCTTGTGCCACAAAAGCTCATTCAGCGAGTCCTTGCATGCCGTGGAACCGATCGAACATTGGGCCCTCCTCAAGGCATGATGTCCCAAGAGGCCCCATTCCGCCGATCCATATGGTCATTCGAAGCACTGGCCGAGTTGCCATTGAAAAGAACTGGGAACGATGGGATCAACTTTCAAAACGACAACTGATTCGACCAGCTCATGCCTGTCGTTTGAACATAACAGTGTTTGCAACGGAACACCCATCGAGACCAGGAGATGGCACAGGTTCCACTAATGTTCCCGGACAGCCGTCCGACAGCCAGGGTTCAGATATTGCCATGCAACCTGACACGACCGTGTCACCGTTCCCGCCGGAAGCAGCTGACCAATCGATTGAGCACCAAGACCATGCAGAACCTTCAAAGAATCCCATGACTGAAATCAAACATGGTCAACAAGGTATTCGATTCAAGATGTTGCCACAGTGGGAACAGAAATGGTTGATCCGAGTCCATAAGAACTTAGGCCATCCTTCAAATGATCGCCTAGTGAAGGCGCTGCAGATGCAGGGTGCACATCTTGGCTTGATCCAAGCCGCTCAGGAACTGGCATGCCCGATTTGCAAGTCACAGGAACCACCCAAGACTGCCCGACCAGCCAGGTTGAAACAAACCCTTGACTTCAATCATAGGATCTTCTTGGATGGTATTGACTGGACCAATAGCCAGGGAAAAACATATCACATGTATCATATCCTTGATGCCGGATCCAACTATCATGTAGCTGTGGTGTCCCCTTCCAAGTCAACTGAAAATCTCATTGACCTAATCAATAAACATTGGATATGTTGGGCAGGTCCTCCAAGTGAATTGTTTGTTGATGCAGGAACCGAAATGAATAGTAGTACATTTGAGCAGTTCACCAATCGTTTTGGAATCAAATGCAGTACTTCCGAACCTAACAGCCATTGGAAGAACGGACGAATCGAACGACATGGCCGTTTTCTGCAAGAAATGCTCACAAAGGTTGACCTTGAGTTTCCCATTATGTCCTATAGTGATTTGCAGACCAGCCTTAACCAGTGTACCCATGCCAAGAACTCCCTGTCAATTCGCAAAGGGTATGCACCCGAGCTTATCGTGTTTGGTAAGCACTCCAGGCTCCCAGGGTCAGTTTTGAGTGATGAATCCGTTCCGTCTCATTTAAATGCTCTTTCTGAAGAGACGGAAATTCAGCCAAATGAATTTCGGAATATGCTCATGCTCAGAGAGGCAG